TACAAAAATCAAACATATTTATAACTAATTTAATTCTTGACAAATGTTGTTAGCTTTTAAGATAATGTTAATTAAATATTATGAGAAGTTAGATAAAAAGAACTATTTTTTCAACATCAAGCCATAATTTGAGACTCAATAAATAAAAGGGATTGTTAAATTTATTTATTATCATAAGATAAGTTTAGATATCTTAAATTTATAAACTCTATCTTGGAATATTATTCTTAAGTAGCTTCTAATTATAACTCATCTTTTATTATTTATCTTTTAAACAAAGGCATGCTATTAAAAATTTAATATGTAAATTTTCTCAATTTTCTCAATTTTCTCTCAAAATTTGTAAAATTTGTGAAACCATTATTAAAGAGATGAAGTATTCTATCTATGAATTTGATTACATAATTTTAAAAAGGAATAGATTTTAATAGGAAATTTATGAGGATAAAGGTATCGATCTAAATTAAGTTTTTAAATAAAAAATATTAATATTATCAAATTTTTATTATTAAGTTGATAATATTATTATTTTAAAAAGAATGCTAATTAAGAGAAAAAAATAGATATTGTTAAAAGATGAAAATAATTATTGTTTTTATTTTGTATTAAATTCAGCAACATCCATTCTTTTTTTTTTCTTCTGCAGCAGCATTATTTTGAGTTAATTTAGTTGTTCCATTTTAAGGAATACTTGGATTAGGTGATTTTTCATTTTATAGATTTGCTTTAACTGCTTTGGCCATAGCAAAAAAAGCATCTGCAACATTTGTACCTTCCTTTGCTGAGGTTTCAAAAAAAGGAACTCCAAACTATCTAGCTAAAGCTTCTCCTTCATCTTTTGAGACTTATCTATTTGGTACATCTATTTTATTTCCTATATTAATAAATTAAAAATAGAAACCTATAAGCAATTTACAAACATTTTCACTTGCGTGTTACTTTATTTAATTCATCCAATTACTAATGTTATTAAATGTCTCTCTATCATCCACGGCATAAACAAGAATTATTCCCATTGCTCCTTTATAATATGTCTAAGTTATTGTTTTAAATCTTTCTTATCCTGCAGTATCCCAAATTTACATCTTTATTTTCTTCCCATCAACATCAATTGATTTTATTTTGAAATCTATACCAATTGTTGATAAGTATGTTTATTAGAAATTATTTTCACAAAATCGTAATAGCACATTCGTTTTACCTACACCAGAATCCCCTATCATTAGAATTTTAATAAGCCAATCGAAATTGTCTTTCTTATTTGCAATAGAAGTGGACATAATATTTAAAAATGATAATTATTATAATCAGAATATAATAGTAAATTTTTATTTAAATACCTCTTGTTTCAAGGAAATAAATATTAATCAATCAACAAAAATTGCGAATTATACTTTTGAAGAATAAATTTATCTAAGTTTCATAAAAATCTACCTTTATAAACCATTCCATTATACTACTAAATATTAATGTTACAATTTTTGCTCAAATAAATATTCCATTGAATCTTAAATAATTAACTTATATTTATTAAGTATTAATATTTCTTCATAATCCCTCTAATTAAAAATCTGAATCTGATTCTTATAAGAAAAGTGTATTTTTATATTCTTTATTTTGTTTACTCTTTTGAAACAAATTTTCACCCAAATAGAATTTATTCCAAATAATTCTATCTTTTTTAATTGATAAATATATTTTACTTAAAGATAAAAAAAAATAAAATTACTCTTACTACTAAATACAATTTAATTTTAAATTTATAAGAATTGTAAAAAGCAAAATTCTACTCTTCAAAGAGCAATACTTATTTTTTACAGATAATGTTTCATCAATTCTATTTTATAAAAAACTTTTAAATGATAAAAAAAATTATCTTCTTTGCAATTAAAAGAAACATAACTCTTATTTTTAAAGTAGAATATCTTAGTTATTTTTATTATTAAAAAAGACCAATCAAATTGTGTCCTAATGATTATTTATATTTACAAATACAAATATATAAAATTTATATCCAAAAAGAGTCGAAACAGGAATAGCATTATATCAAATTTTTTATTACTTATAACTAAATCTAAAATATTTTTATACATCCACAAAATATAAAATTAAATTGTCAAATCTTACAAATACCATCCTAATATAGCCAAATTCATTATTCTAATGAATACAATATAAAATAAATAAGGAGTAATATGCAAAAACTATATTATCAATTAGAGATACTAAATAATCAAATTGAATAGAGATTCTAGCTTAGAATTAGGAAATATTCATTTGAATAAAGCTGAATTAGAGGAAACTATACCTAAACATGAAATTCAAAGAAGCTAAGTAATTGAAATGTATTCTTTATTGAATAAATTTGTAAACATTTTCCCACAGAAATTAAAGCATATATGAGATGAATTAATTCAAAAATAAAAAAAAAAAATAGCTTAGCTATGATTAATTCAAATTGGCAAAATGATATTTTTAACTAACTTTGATATTCATCAGGAAAAATAAACTTGATAATATAGAAATTATGAATGTTATTAGACTTAGTAAAAAGGTGATTATTAAATCTAAGCTATCAATAATTTAAGCTTTAATGATGTTCATAAGCTTTGTAAATTGTTTATTGATCATAACTTATCATCTTTACTATAAAATAAAATTTATACAAAAAATGTTTATTATGTTTTTACTCTATAATAATATTTATCAGGTTATTTGTAAGTTTATATTAAAATAAATGGTAACTTAATCATAATGAATATTTATGCAATTTTAAAACTCAAAAATTTATTACAAAGTGATAGCATATCAATCATCTTAGTGATATTTCTGTTTAGGAATGCAAAATTATAGTTTAAGGAAATTGAATTTTAAATTATCCGTTATCGAATTCTTAACCATATAGATAATTATTTAAAAAAAAAGATACTTTTATTAAAATTTCAAGAATTATGCTTAGAAATTTAATAGTTTCTATTGGTTTCTTTTATTTTCTCAAAAGAATATGTATTAAATTGACTAGTAAAAGGTTTTAAAATACTTATAATGAGTATGATCAACATTAAAATAAAATTTAAAAGGAAAAAAGATAAAGAAACAGATAAAATCCTTTAAAATATAATCATATTAATAGCTTTAAATGTAAAATTCTGTTTCAGTCTTGATCTTATTTAAAGTGTGATCAGAAAAATTTATAAAAATTAGCTTAATAAGATTCAAAAATGAGTTATATAAAGCAACAAAGGATGCAAATGATTATTATTAATTATTTTAATTTGATAGCATTTACCATTTCGATGGATGTTGAAGAAAAAAAAAAATAAATTATTTTTTTAAAAAATGGAAAAATGAGTTTATAATCATGAGAGAGAGATGAATACGAGGTTTGAGTTCAATCTTCTTAATCTGAATTACAAATAAGTATCGTTTTTTCTAAGTCGTCATCTATCTTAATTTTTTTTCTGTTTATTTTCTTTTCTGAAATAACTAAGTGATCTTTTAAGTATTCTAGGTTTCTTAAGACAACAAATAAGTCAAGAGCTTTATTTTCTTTTTTTTCAATTAATTTGTTCATATTATTTATATTAATATATTTTAATGAAATCACATTAATTATATTATATTAATAATCGGTTAAAAAGTTTTTTTTCTCTATGAAAGTAGGGGTATTCTTTAGTATTGAAGAAATATATTAAAATAATAAAAAATAATAGTTAGATATTCTAGTAAATTTTTTTTATAAACAAAAGATAGAAGAATAATGAAATAGAATAGAATAGAGATTTTAATTAAATAGTTTAAGTTTGGAATAGGAGTAATAGCATTATTAGAATAAGTAGATTGGATTGGAAAATAAAAAAAAGTATCATAAAGGATACTTAAAAATAAAATAAAATAAAATTTGAATTAAAATATTATATATATATATATATAATACTAAACAATGATAAGATTGACTTTGTTATTTTTGTTGATTACTTCAAACTTAGCTGTTACAGTAACCATAAATGAAAAATGTAACTGTGAATAGATAAAGTCTAAATAGGATTGTGTTTAAGAGATTTGTTTATGGAAAGATGAAAAATGTGTTAAAAATAAAGAAGAATAGAATAATGAAACTGTTAGTGTTTATTGTGTGTCATTAGATTTAATAAGTTGTTAATAATAAAAAGGATGTGCATGGAATGTAGGTGTCTGCGAATAATTTAGTGGATGTTCTGCATATATTGGTAGTTCAAATGATGCCTGTTAATAGATATCTTAATAATGCACATCTGATGGAACTTAATGCATAGACCCTTTAAATTGTGGTGATTATAATGAGTTGATACTTTGCAATTCAAATATTAATGCATAAGGTCGTAGATGTAAATGGGATGAAGATAAATGTCGAGATTAAAAATGCATAGAAGCAAGTACAACATTAAGTACTGATAGTGAATGTAATGCATTTTATCCAGGTTGTGTAACAAATGGAAAGGGTTGTGTAGAAAAAAGAGCAGAATGTTCAACATATGGTGATTCTTGTGCAGGTAAGATAGGAAGTGATGGTAATTGTGAAAAAACAAATAATGGTTGTACTCCAATACTTTGTACAGCAGCATTAACAGATTTAACCACAAATGAATAATGCTCTAAATTTTAATTAGGATGTATTACTACAGGAAGAGGTTGTTCAAAAAGTCCATTGAATAGTTGTAGTACCTATACTGCTGAACCTAGTATCTGTTAATAAATGATTGGATTAGAAGGTAAATGTGATAGTGGTGCATCTAATTAATGTCAACAAAGAAAATGTGAAAATGCTAGTTAAACAAATAATACTGATGAATTATGCTAGTAATATTTAACTACTTGCATTACAAATGGCAGAGGTTGTGTAACTCAATTGAAACTGTGTAATACTTATTTAGGCACAGCTGATGAATGTAATCATTATATTGGAAGTGATGGAAAATGCACTCTAGGTTCAAATAGTTGTAAAGTAAGAGTTTGTAATGAGGCACCTGATACTTTAAAAACAGATGCTGATTGTAAAGATTATTAAAATGGATGTGTAACAACTGGTTAAGGATGCATTAGTAATAGATAATCTTGTTCTACTTATAGTGGGACAGCAATTAGTTGTTAAAAATATATAGGAAAAGAAGGACACTGTTATGGAGTGGGAGATACAGTAGCAGCATGTAAAGCATAGATTTGTTCAAATGCTCCAACAACTTACACAAGTCATGAATAGTGTTCTGAGTTTCAGACAGGATGTTTAACAAATGGAAAAGGTTGTGTAGAGAAAACAGTGTGTATATCTACAGTAAAAGAGATAAGTTGTATTGGTACAAACTAATGTTTATGGAATGAAATTTGTGTTACAACAACAAGTTGTTAATATTATAATACAATAAGTTTATGTCATAATAATAAGGCTGATGGAACGGTTTGTTAATGGACGAATGGAATTTGTAGATAACGATTTTGTAGTGATGCACCAATCACGTATACAAAAGATGAAGATTGCAATAATTTTTTAGAGAATTGTGTAACAAACTCTTAAGGTTGTATATCTAAATTGGCTTCATGTAATTAATATACTGGAACTAAAGATACTTGTATAAATTTTAGAGGGAATGGAATTAAATGTACAAGTACTAGTGTTAGTAATGCACCATGCAGCGATGTTTTATGTGTAAGTAATACAACAGCAACGAGTCAGAGTGAATGTGATGATTTTATGAATGGATGTAAATTTCAAGGTCTTAATGGATGCATTGATGGTTCAACTGAATGTAATAAATATTATGGAAACCAGGATAGTTGTAAAACATAGAATGGAGTGAATGGGACTGTAAAATGTTATTAAGACAATGGTGTGACATCTAGCTGTAGGAATTTGTAATGTAGTGATAATACTACAGCAACGAATGATATCGAATGTAATTTATTCTTAAATGATTGTGTCAGTATGGGAACAGGATGCATCAGTAAAAGTGAACCATGTACATCATATAGAGGCAATAGTACTGCAGATTGTTAAGGATTTAAAGGAAATAATAAGAATTGTTGGTGGATTGGTGGTTTTAGTTGTGTTGATAAATAATGTTCATAAGATAGCACTTCTACAAGTGATGAGGCTTGTAAATAATTTTTGACAGGATGTGTTTCTAAAGGTATTGGTTGTATTGAGAAAACTGAATTATGTACAACATATTAAGGAAATGAAGATCAATGTTAAAAATTTAATGGAAATGAATAACCATGTATTCGAAAGAATAATTGTATGAATAGAAGATGTTCTGATGTTATTAGTCCAACTAGTTAAGATCAATGCATTAATTATTTATCAACATGTAGATTTAATGGATCAATTTGTATAGATGCAGAAATATCTTGTACATCATATATAAATTTGAGTTATACTATATGTCAATAAATTACTACATAATCTGGTGGTTTATGTTATTTAGCTAGTGGGACTGGAACTTGTTAAGTCAGAACTTGTTCTTAAAAGGGATCAGCAAATAATCAAAGTGAATGTGATAAATTTTTAATCGGTTGTGTATTCAGTGGTGCAAACTGTGTTGAAAAATAAGCTACTTGTGATCTTTATATTAATTTTACATCTATGGCATGTAGAGATGCCAAGACTATTTCTAATACAGCCTGTTATAATAAATCAACTACAAATGATAATTGTTAAGCTAGAACATGTTCTGCTCTTACAAATGATTTAATATAACCTAATTCATTCACAGCAGAATTTTGTTAATCCTATCTAGCTTCATGTATATATAATGGTACTGCATGTGTTAATAAATAAGATTCTTGCACTTTATATAATCCTTTTACTGTCTCTGCTTGTAAGTCAGCTTTTACTACTTCATAAGAAAAATGTTGGTAAGAAGATGTAAGTTCTGTTATTTGTTCAGTTAGATAATGTAGTGATACGATAACTGCACCAAATTTAATTAATTGTGCTGCTCATAAGGCTTCTTGCAGATATAATGGTACATAATGTGTAGATTCATAAACTGCTTGTAATTTATATACATCATTTACTTAAAACGCTTGTAAGGAAATTACTTTAAGTGATGGAACAACACAATGTTGGAAAACTACAACAGATGTTGGAATATGTGAAAGTAGGTAATGTTCAAATATATTGCCTTTATATTCAGCTATTAAATGCGCTGAACATATTTCTACTTGTAAATATAATGGGAACTTATGTGTTGATTAAAGGAATGATTGCACACTTTATACAGGATTCACTTCTGAAGCATGTAAATAAGTTACTACAAGTTCAGGAGGATCTTGTTGGATTCCTTTCAGTGTACCTTAATAATGCACTACAAGATTATGTAGTAATTCAATTGAAAATGCAAATATTTAAAGTTGTTTATAACATTTAGCTAGTTGTAGATTCAATGGTTAAATTTGTGTTGATAATTAAGTTAACTGTTAATAATACACAAGTTTTACATAGAATGCTTGTTAGAATACAACAACTTCTTCTGGAGTGAAATGTTGGAAATCTTCATAATCAGTTGGAAGTTGTGAAAGTAGGAGTTGTTCGAATAATGTAATAAATGCTAATTATAATACATGTGGTGATCATTTATCAACTTGTACCTTTGATGGTGTCAATTGTTATACTATGTAAGATAATTGTTCTCAATATACAAATGTTTCTGCATTACAATGTCAAAATTTAAGAACAACTTCTGGAGGTAGATGTTGGTTAGCATTAGGTTAAGGTACTTGTATAATTAGATAATGTATTCATAATACAATAGCAATGACAGATTAAGAATGTGAAGCATTTTTAAGTGGATGTAGAACTTCAGGTAAAGGATGTGTTGATTCAACAGTTCCTTGTACATAATACATTGGTACAACATCAAGTTGTCTTACCTTTGTTGGTAATTCAATAAAATGTAAAGGTGCAGATTCAAGTGGTTCATGCACAGTAAAAAATTGTTATGATAATATGGATGGTGTAAATGATGTTTAATGTAATACATTTATGTCTGGATGTGTAAGTAGAGGTAAAGGATGTATAGCTAAGATAGATCCATGTACAAGTTATATTGGTAATTAAACTACTTGTTCTTAATTTATAGGAAATTAGAAAAAGTGTTGGAATAATAGCAATGCAACTTCAACTTAATAATGTCGAGATCGATTATGTTCAGACGATACTACTTCAAATAGTGATGAATTATGCTAAGAGTTTTAAGTAGGTTGCGTAACTAAAGGAATAGGATGTATTGATGTAACATCCAAATGTACTTAATATACAGGAACATAAGGTGAATGTAAAATGTTTAAAGGAGAGAATGGAACCAAATAATGTTGGAATCTAAGTACAGCAACAGCATCAACTGCTTGTGTTAATAGAGTATGTACTCACAATCTAAGTGCAACTAATGATTAAGAATGTGATACTTTTCTTAAAGGATGTATTACTAAAGGATAAGGTTGTGTATCACCTTAACCTTGTTCTTCCTTTTAAGGTACTATTAAATCATGTGCAATGTTCTCAGCAACTGATAAACCATGTAAAGGTATAAGTTCAACTACTATTTAATCTTGTGTATCTGTAAAATGTAATGAAGCACCTAATAATTATGATACTGATGAATTATGTAATACATTCAAAGAAGGATGCGTTACTAATGGTTTTGGTTGTGTTGATATTGTATTATGTGAAGATGTTTAAACTGAAAAGGCTTGTAAAAGTAAACCTACTTGTGCTTATGTTGGAAATTGCAGAGATTTTCAAACTGAATGTAGTGCTCTTAAATCTTAATCACTTTGTGTCAATACTCCTGTTAGTACTGCTATTGGTATGTGTGCATGGGAAGTTAATAATATTACTAATGTAGGACTTTGTAGAAATTGGAAATGTGAAGATGCTTCAGAAAATTTAATTACTCATGAAGATTGTAATCTGTTATATAAAAACTGTACAACAAAAGGAAAAGGATGTATCTCTATTGGTTCATGTTAATCATATACTACTGCTGCCATATGTTCTGTTGCTAAAACTACTGATCTGGGTGGCAGTTGTGTTTGGAATAAAACATACTGTCGATAATTAGATTGTTCTGATGCTAGTAAATAACTTACTACTGATATTAAATGTCAAGAATTTCTAAGCAATTGTGTTACTAATGGAAAAGGATGTATTAATGTTTAATACAAATGTGAAGAAATTTTGATTAAAGAGAAATGTACTATAGATTTTAAAGGTAATACTTGTTTATGGTTTTAATCTTAATGTATAACATATACTAAATGTAGTGATATAAATGGAATCTCATATGCATAATGTAATAAATATTCTAAAAATTGTACAAGTAATGGGAATAATTGTATAGCAATAGCACCATGTAATAAATATACAAATCCAACTAGTTGTTAAACTGGTACTAATGGTTAGTGTGGTTGGGTAGCTGCTACTCTTAATAAAGCTGCTTATTGTACTTAATTCACGAAATGTAGTGATGGTACAGGAACTACAAAAGAACTTTGTTAGTAATTTTCTGCTTTATGTATTTCTGATGGGAATGGTTGCATAGAGATAACAACTTGTTCTGGTTATGTCACATTAATAAGTTGTGTTTCTGGTGGAACAGATGGTATTTGTTTTTGGGATAATGGAACATGTAGATAAAGATAATGTAATGATGCTACAGTATCTACAGCAATAGAAATTACTAGTCATTAAAAATGTAATGCATTTCAAGCTGCTGCTGTTTGTACAACTGATGGAACTAATTGTGTTTAAATGGGATTATGTAGTACATATAAAGAATAAGGATGCTATTTTGGTACTGATGGAGAGTGTATTTATACATTTCCATCAGGTTAAGTTTAAGGTAAGAAATCTTGCAGATTGAAGATCTGTACTGATTATAATGATGTTACATCAGAATTGTGTAAATTAAGAAATTCCTAATGTATATCTAATGGATTATATTGTATAAATAAAAGTTAATGTTCATCATACAAAACTAAAGTAGCTTGTAATTCAGGTGGAATGGATGGAATTTGTGTATTTACACCATCTTAAAATGATCCTAATAATGGTGATTGTGCATTAATGACATCATGTTAATAGGCTAAATCAGATATGGTAGCCTGTAAATCTAAATTTAATACATGTTAATTTCTAGTTTCATCGTAAAATGGAGTTAATTCAACTTCTTGTATTAATCATACATGTGCAACTATTGCTAATGGATCAGTTTGTAAACCCATTTATAGTTTTGATGATAAATAAATTACTATCTGTGTAACAACTGCTTCAGGTTGTGCAGTGGGTGATTCTAATTAATTATCAGCTTCAACTTGTTTCGATTCAACTCTCAAAACATATACATGGAATACTGCTACAAATCTATGTGAAAAATGTAATAATCTAATCATTCAACCTAATAATACCAACAATACAAATAGTAATATAACAAATACTTTTACATAGATCCTGTTCGTATTTCCATTATTGATAATGTTTTAATTATGATTAATTCTAAGAATCCAATCAATATATATAATTCATTTTTATTATATAAATTATGATTGAAGAAGAATTCATTAAAATCTTTCAGAATAGTGATGTTGAATTACAGACCATCGATCAAAAATAAATGTATAATAAACCATTCTATTTCTAAGTGATCAAGAGAGTATTCAAGAATCAGCCTTAAGAAAAATTAGAATGAAAGAATTGGCAAATATGTTAAAGGTAAAACTAAAGTTTTTAAAAATGAATATTAGGATCTTAGTTGGGATGATCGCTATGAATGGCTGCTATATTAAAAAAATAAAGGAAATAAGTTATTTTATTAATAATAATACGATCGAGCAATTTAAGTGTATTATGAAATGGCTTTAGGGTTGGATTTGAAAAACACAGAAGAAAGAAATGAAATTATGAAATAGGATTTCTAATATCCTATAATTTTTAATCTAGCACTTTGTTACAAGAAAAAAAAAGATTATGAAAAAGCATCTTAATTTTACGATATGGTGAATAGATGATTAAATATATTTAGGGGATAAAGTTACATTCTAGTCCAAAGTATATTTTAAGAAGAGGATATTTCCATTTTGATATCTAAGAATATGACAAAGTATAAAAGGATTTAAACTTGGTAACAAATATCAATGCGTACCCCGAACTTTAAGATGATTATTACGATCTCAAATAAAAATTGAATGATGTCTTAAAAAAGGATAAGGAATTTTATTAAAAGATGTTCTAATAACATTAACATTAATAAGCAGATGAAGAATTATCAATGAAACATTCTAAATTTGATTAAATTTACGAATGGTTTAAAAATTAATTTTCCCGTATCTTTGGATGTAGAAAATTATTTGATGATGATGAATCAGAAGATGATGATGAATCAGATCCTAAGAAATTTTTAGAGCATAGATGATAGTATTCACAATATTCAAATCTTTACACGTTTTGTAGTTTAAATTCTCTTCTGAGTTTCATGTTTAATCGAATTTTAATCTTCCTATATTTCGTAAATTTCTTAATCAAAGAAAGGATGTAATAAGCATTCTTTTGCACTAGGACGATTACGAGCATCTTTCTAAAGCATCTTTAAAAGTAGATCATAACCAAGAGGGTTATTAATTTTTACATTAACCAAATGAGTTTCATCATATTAACCACTTATATTTCTTTTTATAATGTCTTGGATATTCTTAGAATTACCGAAAGGGTTTTTAAGTGTTAACCTAAACAGATATTAATCAGAAATTTACATGTTATATAGGATTATTCCAGCACTATAAATATCAACCTTCTCATCATATATACATTACTAAGAGTAAACTTCTGGAGCAGTATATCCAGGAGTACCACATCTATTAAATTATTTAATAATATATACCTTGGATTATAGTATGGAATTTGTTATTTAAAACACGAAAGACCGAAATCGGCAATTTTTAAAGTATTGGCATTCTAAGCATCAAGGAATAGTATGTTTTAAAGTTTGATATCTCGATGTACTATATTTTATTCATGTAGATGTTTCAAACCTATTGAATAATTTATGAAATCAAATACCTGTAAGTAAGTTTATCATAACAAGAGGAACATCCATTTTAATGGTTTTCTTATTTAGCAACTTCAAAAGATCTCCTCCTTAACAATTTTCCAATATTATAGACACACTTTCACCATCTGTTACGATTTCTTCCAATTTAATTATATTTTAATGTTCTTGCTCCTTTAATAGAGACAGAATATCAGCTTCTTGTTTCAATTAACACTTATAATTAATCTAAATATCTTACAAGTCTGCTTATCGAAGCTTAATCTATCATATTCTTTGGAAATACAGCCATTTTTTCAACCATCACATTATTTTATGTTTGAATCAGTTCTAATCATAAGTATCTTTTTTTACAAATTCCAGGAGCTAACTAACTAAGAATTCGTGGATTTTTAAAACGAAAGAAAACTTATTTCCCTCTTAGTTGATTTTATAGCTCTTCACTATCCTTTTAACTCACAAGGAATGACACTTTTATTTGTGTCTCAGGATTCTCTAAGTCTAGTGTATACATTTCTTAATCTTCAATAAATATAACAATATACCTTCACTGACTTCTCTACCAAAATAGAGTATTGTATCCATTGAACCTGCTGGCAAGTACACCATCTATTAATCGTTTAGAACTGTCTATAAATTTTTCAATTAAAAAAGCATACTTTTATCAACAATGCACCATTATTTGAGATAATTGTTACTTATTGGTGTTCATTATCTGCACCAATATAAAAGGCAGAGCAAGAGTATTGTTTCATTCTTAAATTTGGAAAGTTAAAATAAACTTAAAAAAAATATATATTCCATTAACCATACATCATCATGCTTAAAAATCCCGTAACCAAGAGTACCCCCATCGTTAAACTTTATTATTTTCCATTTATATAGAGTAATTTATATGTAAGAATGATGTTTTTTTCATAATTTAAATTGATATTCTGATTGTTAATTAATTATAAAAGATTTATTTAGTTCTTATATTGTATTAATTAAAAATCTTAGTTTCGTTATAACTAAATAAAATTTTTACACAGGCATGCTTAAATATACCAAATTAGAAATAAAAGATTTATGAACAAAGTAATTTAAAATTTGATGCTAGTATTCAAATTTATTTTTATTTTAAATCTGGATTATTAATTAAAATTTCAATATAATTATTTGCAGACATCATGAATTAATTGCTAATAAATATCTAGATTCTAAATACACAAACATAAATAACCCAATCTCCTACATTTTTTCAATTCAGAATTTACTAATAATAAATGTATTTTAGGTCTTTTAAAATAAAAAATAAATTTTATTTAATGTCATGATCTTGTAAAGTATTTAATCATTTTATATTAATATTTCAGTTTATTTTATAATTCTCTATGAATATCAGTAAATAATGAACCTATTTTCAAATTTTTTCTTTAATAAAATAATCTTTTTGCCATCTAAAGAGAGTTAATTTTTATTTAAGATTAAATTCAAAATAATTATCTATTATCAATAGTGATTAAGGATTACAAAATTAATTTAAGCCCTGGTCATTACAATAAATTTTTATTTTATTCTTCCTATCTCTTCATTGTATTTGAGATATGTCACCTTATCAATCTTCATATATTTAATAATCCTATTTGAATTATTGATTGCAATAAAATATTTCTTTATAACATTAAATCATTAATTTTATTCAAACCAGGAATTATTGAAAATATTAGGTAACAGCAAACCTAACATATTTTATTGCTGAATTGTTTATGTCTAATCCATTCCTTAACTATTTTAAAATATTAATATTTTAACAACTTTCCTTCTTGGTTTTAAAGGAAATACTTCCAAACTTTATTCATACATCAAAAAAATCGATTCAACAGTATGTCAATAATTACTGTGAATATTATATGATAATTTTTCTATATATTTTATAATTATATTGAAGTTTTAATTCCTAATATTATATTGCATAAATGATTAACTTACATGCACTATAAATTATGTTATCGCTTGCTAATTTGTTACTTTAAATATCTTAAACAAATCTAGAAGGTTTTGCTACATAAAAATAAAATTAATGGCTCATGTATTTAAATTGGGAAAGAAAATTATAATAACCAAAAATTTTAAACAATATATTTAAGTGTATTACAAGCTCATTGAGGTTCAGGTTAATAAGTTAATTTTAATAATTAGAAACCTTATATAATTATAAAAAACAAAATAATAAAATAGAAAGAACGAGTTATTTTTCATTCAAAAAAATGACCTGCTTTTTGAGATCATATTATTTTTTAATTTAAATTTGAAACAAATGGAAATTTAAAAGGAAGAAAAAAAATTGAAATTAACTTGAAATCCAAAAAAAAAGAAACAGATTTCTCTTTATTAAAAGTCTTAATAAAGGTAAGTTTTTTTTAAATTAAATAAATGATATTAAGCTTTTTATAATGATATTAAACACTTGTTTAGATTAATATGACCTTTAATATATATAATAGTAAGCCTAAATAAGTAATATCAATTGATTAATCATTTATTGAATAATATAAAATATTCATATATTATATTTAATTAAGGAAATTTATATTTTATATTTGATCATATGTTTGGAATAGTGCCTAAGTTATAACAATATGTTTGTGCTTGGAATTTTTGGCCAGCCTTTATGAAAAAATTCCTTATGAGTGAGAAAGGTCCATTCACAATCTTTTTCTGGACACCTTTAGCTAAATGGGGAATTTCAATAGCAAATATTGGAGATATGCGCAAACCAGTTGAATAAGTTAACACACTTTAACAATGCGTTATAGCTTGGACTGGATTATTATTCACAAGGTAAATAGTAAATTTTTAATTTATAGATGGTGTTTCATTATTAGACCAAGAGTTTATAGTTTAGTCATTTGCAATTTTTGCATGGCTCAAACTGGATTATATCAGCTTTATAGAAAACAGTATTAAATTAATATATTTGTAGTCAATAAGGAAAACTTTTCACAAGATGAAATAAATATAAAATACAATATATATTTTTTAGTTATCTAATAAAAATTTATGAATTTCTACACTTATAGAAAGATATATACATATTATCATTAATAAAATAAATTATTGAATTTTATTACATTCTAAAGAGATTTCATTTATCTTAATGTTTAGAATCTGTAAATAAAAATGTAAAATCATGAAAATAGAAAATTGAAGTATGTATAATAATTTAATATGATTAAGTTATCAACTTCTAGAGGGTATTTAGGAATAATTCTTAGATTTAGGAAATGGTAAATTAATTGGCTGAAATTTTAAAATTATCATTAAAAAACAAACTATTGATTTTAAATTATGTTGAATTCTATTTGAGTAAACTAACAGAAGTTAGAGTTTTTGAATAAGTGATTTAACAGATTTAAAAACGACATAAGGAAAAGGTTTTAAGCATTATTATTATTAATGAGAAGAGTTCTTTTAGTGATTTTACTCTTAAGTATTGCCTCTGCTGCTACATTCAAGAATAAGTTGGATTACTCAAAAAAGAGATCCATAACATCAGTAATGGCTGAAGTGGAAGCTAAGATTTAAACAAAAGCTCCATTAGATGCTATTTTGAATGTTTTAAGAGATTTCAGAGATTCAGTAAATTTTGAATAAGTGAATCATGATGAGATATATTAAATTTAAGTTAGAGAATGTGAATCTGAAGATGAATTCAGAAGTAAGGAAGTTTAAGATGCTAAAAATATCCTTAGAGATTCTACAGCTTAATTAAATGTATGCTAAACATCAAAAATCAGAGCTACTAATTAATAAGAAGTCAATTAACATTAAACATTTACAGCAGAGAAACATTTGAATATGGTTATGACAGCTGCTGAATAAGAAGCAAGCTATTTTAAGAAAAGAGGAAGAGATTATGAAGATGCTCTTCATGCTATTGATGAAGCTTCAGACATTTTAGCTGCTATCTATAGTGGATCAGGAAGTTTTGCTGAAATAAGTAGAGTTTCAAAGGTTATGCTCTAAACATCATTCAGTATTAAAGAAACTGCTAAGTTTGCTCCAATCCTTTATGCTTTCTCTTAATTAGCATCATCAAAAGATTTCGATGAAACCTCACTTGAAAGAGTTGCTTAATTATTAGATACTTTGAAATAAAATATTCATGAAGCATATAATGATTATGCTGAATCAAATGCTTAATCAATTGCTGCTTTTAATGATTAAAAAGAAAGAATTGGATAAACTCTTGCAAGACTTGCTGCTTAAGCTGAAAGATTATAAGATAAATTAGATCATTTAGTTTAATGTATTGGAACTAATTCTGCTATTGCATAAACTGCCTCTGGAAAACTTTAAAGAAATCAATAACTTTGGGATTAAGCAACTGCTTTATGTGCAACCTTCCAAAATGAATACAATTTTGCTACCTAAGCTAGAAGAAATGAATTATAATTGGTTAGTCAATTGGAAGAGATGGTTGAAGATAGATTTGGTCAAGTTGAAGATGAAAATCACGAAAGAAAACTTAGATTAAGTTAAAATTGATATACAAAAATTATTAAATAATATCATTTACAAAATATTATTATATAATTAATACAATAATTTTTATTACTATTATGAATACAACTTCAGCTAAACCTAAACCTAAATTATGGCTAAATGTCAATATTACAGATGTCTAACCTGAAAGTACTCATTCTTCTAATGGTTGGAAGTAATAAACAGACATATTTTTCCATGAACCTATGTAATATTAAATGTATGTATTGTTAGTGATTAGTCATTATAATTTTTACATAATGGAAAGACAGTTGCTGATGTGGCTCAACTTAAATGTGGTAGAAAGTATTAAGAAGATAGAGTACTAAATCCTCTTAATTTAAGTTTGTTGCTATTCCAAATCTAAATTAAAACAAAGAGACTTAATTTTTTTATGCAATTTATGATGGTCATGCTGGCCATTCTGTATCTGCAATTCTCGAAAATAATCTACACAAATATTTATAAGAAGAAAAAAATTTTTTGAATGACTTAGAGAAAGCAATAATAAATAGTTTTGAGAAAATGAATTAATATATACTTGATTGTTAAGAAGATAATTAATTACTTGGTGGTTCTACTGCTATTTGTGTTATAAATAGACAGAAAGATTTATATATTGTAAATTTAGGAGATTCTGCTTGTGTACTAATTACTGAAGAATGTGAAATTTAGAAATTGAATCTTGAACATAAATTAAATAGGGAAGATGAATTCAAAAGAGTTGAATAAATCGCAACTATATTAGACAGACAGTATCTTTAAAATAATATTTAAGTTCTATTCCAAGAATTAATGGAGAATTAGCTGTGACAAGAGCCTTTGGAGATAAAAAACATAGACAATCTGGCTTAATTGCCATTCCTGAAATAAAAATACATTAAATAGATCAAAAGGATAAATATTTGATTTTGGCATCTGATGGTTTTTGGGATGTAAAACCACACATTTATTTAGATTATAAAAAATGATGAGCTAAAAAAATTGATTGAAAATTGGAATAAAAATGAAATAGACTAATTAGCATAATATCTTCTAGATAAAGCAGCATCCAAAAATACTCATTATAAAAAGGATAATATGACTTTAATTGTTGTAGATATCTAATCTTATTGGAAATGAATTTTAACCTAATTTTTATTGCTAATTTTATATTTGTAATTATTATTGTCAAAATTTCAGTCTTTGTTGTTGACAAATATTTATCAATTGTTTTAAAGTTCTATTATTTATTGATTGAAATAAATATAATTAAATTAACTCGTAATAGATTAACATATAAAAAATATTATAGAGATTTTACCAGACAACAGCTAATCATGTGGTACTTTTTACAAGTTGAGAAGAATTAATCTTAAATTAGCCTCAACATTTTTATTTAAGCCATCAAAACTTAGATACTTATGCTATATATATTCATAATTATTAAAATAATTGATTATGAATTCAAATCAATTAGATGGAAATGGCGATCCTTAACAAGAATTTCTAGAAGTTATAATCAAATTCTAATATTTTAGGCATTTAAAGAATTACTCGATATTTAGAATTCTAGAATTCAAAATGGTAATGACTTAATCAATTAATATTGTCCTCAATTAATATACCCCCTCATTCTTCCCACTTAAATACCAAACACATTTATAGTAATTTTCTTATTTTATAATAGATCAATATGGGTCCATATTACCCTCATATTTAATAGCCGCAGCTACATCCTTAAACTATTCATTAACAAAGAATTGTTTAACAGCCCTAGTAAACTTAGTCCTAACATCACCAAAGTATCAAAGAAGAGGATCAAGATGACAATAAGCAGTTTAAAGGAAATTAACCGTAAGAAAAACAATAATGAACTAATTTCTATTTTTATAATCAAAATTACGATAATTATTTTTTTCCTTTGCATTATTATTAATTTACGCTTTATAATATTTATTTCCTTATTCATTAATCTGGATTAAGACTTAACAAAATTATTAAAGAATACTTCTTTTAGACTTGAATCCAAACAATTTGTTATGAAAAGGTCTAACCCTCTCTAGTTTTAAACCTTTTAACAATTGTTGTTTTTAAACAGCCTTAGGTAGGAATTAAATTCAAAATATAATTTTTTATTAACTTTATTATAAAACATTTTTACAAATAAAAATTATTTTAGAAGAAGTAGATCTCAAAAATAAAATTTTTATATTAATAGATTTTAGAAAATTTAGTATAAGTATTAAAAATTTTAAGCTTATAGAAAAGATGAAAATTAAAGCTTATTTTCTATAATTTTATTATTATATTTATTTTTATATGTCTCATAACTTAAACAATAGTTTTGCCTCATTAATAAATATATTTTTAATTTTTCTATTAAAAAAAATTTTTTTTTTAAATAAATCCAATTCGATTATTAATTCGAGTTGCTTGAAATTTGCTTTTTCTTTATCTTTAACATATCCAAACAAAGAAAACTCTTTAATTATTTTTAGAAAAGTTTACATTAATATGCCAGGATATACACTTATAAAACTCGGTCTCACCATAATTTGTTCATATTCATATTTTAATGAAATTATTTGTTTATTATATACAAATTATTATTAAATTGTATAAATCATTTATCTTATATAATTTATAAACATTTTGAATTTACGATAATGTGTATTAAATATAAGTAGTCAAATTAAAATGGGTTCAATCTGCAAATGTCCAACTTTAGATTCTAAAACCTGTTAAAGTGAAGTGACATTTACATCAAAAAATATGATGTCATAAGGTTAAGAAAAATTTAATAATTAATTCGTTTCCCCTTTTTAAGATCAACGATTTAGGACCTTCTATATTATTTACCCAAAAAATGAAAATGATTTAGTTTAATTACTAGAATAATTACAAGTTTTAAATCAAGACTAACTATTTGAAATCGAAGAATATTATTAATAAAGCTAAGAGAACGAGAGAAACGAAGTTAATAGTCATTTTAATTTAAATTGCATTTCTGATGGATCATTTAATTATATACATCTTACAAGTAATCAAGAGAAGAAATGAACAATCTCTATTAATTAATTTAATAAAAGATTAATTTATATATATTAAAAAATTTATTTAAGTATCTTCTTTGAAAATATACTAAACATGCTATGCAATTAAAGATTCGAGCTTAATTGCTCATCAAAGATAAATACTTATTTTTTGATAAATTTAAGTTGTTTTTAGAATTAAATTATAATTTACTATTTTTTTCTGATTTTATTAACTAAAATAATATTTTTTCCCTAAATAATCCCACTAGTTTTAATTTTGAAATAGCTTAATGTTTTTTTATACCAAATTTTATCATTTTTGTCTAATTTAGTAGCTTAAATTTAATTAAATTTATCTCTATTATAACTTGTAATTAAAATCCTTTAAAATAATAAGAAATTAGATTGATAAATATCAATAATAAACTTAATAAAAGTTTTCAATTTAAAATTAATCATTTCATTATATTTATAAGAGAATAAATAATTGTATATATTTTGTTTAATTATTTTATTCTATCTCAATACAATCATCTTGAATTTAAGAGATTTTTTTTGGATGGAATTATATTTAAAGAATATTTTTGATTTTTAGTTTAATAAAGCTATTTATAAAATAGTTTTAATAATTTTTTTATCTAAATAAATTTCTTACATACTAGCATATCTGTCACTATAGAATTTCGACATAAAATTAATATCATTTGATCAAAACACCAGCTCTTAATTTATATTATTCGTTATAATAAAAATGTTAAATTAACATCCTTAAATATATATTTATTGAAAGTATATAGATCATGAGAATTAAAAAATACATTTAATAAATCATATTATCTATTTTTCAAATTATTATATAATATTGCCTATAATATCTCTCTACATATATGTTTATAAAATGCTCATTATCCATCAAGCATATCCACAATAAACTTCATTTTTCTGTTTAATTCTCTTGAATACAAGGCTTTTCTGAATGAAAAACATTCTCCTTCTTGGATATCTGTATAGAAGGATCCCATTTTAAGAAAATATATAAACTTAAAATTGTATATAATCAATATTTATATAATTCAGGACCAATCATTGATAGCAATTATACTATTAATGAATGAAATAAATCTTTAACTGTATAATTAAGGATCAACACATGAGATTTTTTGACCCTTTCTTTTAACATGAAATTTGTAAAAATACTCCAATTTCTTTTTGAGAGTGAACTCTTAGGTGTAATCAATAAGACCAAAACAAAAAGACTTGCTACTATTACAATAAATACGTTTTCCATTTACTTATTAATTATTACATACAGCAATAAGTAAGGAATAATCCATAATATTATTTCTAAGTAGGAAATCAGTATCCTCTTTTAAAATATTGAATAAATTATCTCTTGCTTACTATTTCAACTAAATAAAAATATCTGTAGATTTGAGGAAATTTTAATCTTTTAAAATTCCTTATTAAGGAAGATATTAATTATAAGAACTGGAAAGTTCAACTACTTAGCATTTTTTAATATTTGATTTTCTATTAACAAGACTTCCTTTCAAATCATAAACTATCCTTTCCTTAGGTAGACTTAAAAAAATATTCTCCATGAGTAATAAATGAATCGAAGAAAATCCTTCTATACTTATAGTATACAATCCATAGTATTTTGCCAAAAATGTTTAATCTTTGATAATATAATTGTAATAATCTTCCAAAACTATTAAATTTAAATTTAAAAAATACAATCTTAAATAAACTTAAGCTCTGATGAATTGATGGTCTTCAACACAAATATGTTATCATAAGTATAAAAGAAGAATGACCCACTTTTTCCAAGAGATTCTTAAGTTTTTTTGATTTGATTTTAGTTGTAATCTAATCTTAAAGAATTTTAAAATATTTAATAATAAATCCCGTTTTTTTCCCTAATATCTTAAAATACTGCAGGGGCATACTCTTAAATTTAAAATGTCAATGTTAATTCTTATGAATAATTTATTGTCTAAAATAATGGAGATTCTAAGTCTGTTTAAGATTCAGTTTAATTTGATGAAAATCTAAACTTCTTCTATTATTGACATTATTTGTGTAGATCAGTAATTTTTTCATCATAGCTTGTAATTTTAAGGATTGAACTTAAAATGTTGGATACTGTCTCTTGGTTAGTTTATTCTTATACTAACTTGTTGAGTGGTAACTAACATTATTCTATTAAAGAATCATCATCAACATTTTTACTAAAAAAAATAACAGAAAGTTATACTCCTTGTTTTCTTTCCATTTTTTTTTACAAATTATTGTAGAAAATAATAATAAAGCTCTACTTCTGAAATAAGGTTCTCGAAATCGAATCCATAAAAAAATTGTTGCTAACTATTAATAATCTAATATGTACGATGAAAAAGCATCATAGCAAAATATAATCTTTTTAATAATTAATTGCCTTTCATAAAGATTGGAAAACTCCACATCATAAGCAGAGCAGATATTAAACACTATATTATAATTTCAAAATAATTTACTAAATGATTAAGAAAAAATTTCTTTCTATTTTTTCTAACGATAACATTAATTTTCTTCATTTTAGATTGATCCTTAATTCCAACATAACCAGAGATAACCAATAATAAAGTAATAACAATTAACTGAATTTTAAATACCTAATTTGTTGGATTTGTTCCTATTGTTTCACAATTAAAATCTTCAAATTTATCTTTCTCAAAATAATACATTGTTATTGTGGTTAAACATGCCACAAAATTATATGAAATTTGCTTCATTTTTGTATTCAAGAATGGTTTAGTTAATGTTAGTATAAAATCTAATGTTAAAATTGCATAATAATTTAATTGAGCTAACAATCCAAAAAAAATAAGTGATTAATTTATTTAGGATAAGGTTTTATCTGAAATTATTTCTTAGCCAAAAGAATAGTATCTCCTTAATTAATTATAACTAATAATGTCATCCAGAAATTTTATAAGTTCTTCAAATTCAACACTCTTTAAAAATATTTGATAGCAAGTAATCATCTCTAAAATACCTAAAATATAAAAATAATTTACATAAGATTAAGACAATTTAAGCTGGATGATGTCTACATTTAGGAGAGTATGCATATATTATAGGTATGACAGATGCTGAGCATAATGAGAAAAAAAGTAGCACTACATAAATATATTTCCAAAAACTCTCGACTGAATATTTCATATCTAAACTCATAGTATTGATAAAAGGAGTTTATTATTATTTAATATTTATTTATTAAATTCATAAGTATCCTTGATTTTAAATTAATTCTCAAATAGTTTTGTTTTTGAATTTTATTTTTCATCAGGATAATAATTTTGAACAAAAATATCTTAATTTCTAATAATAATCAATACCATTAGCATTTATGAGAATTTATAAGATATAATTATAGTATTTATAGAAATAAGTTCATCAAATAAAAAATCAGAGTATTGATTTCTAGTTGAGTATGTTATAATATTTTAAGATTACAAATATAAATATAATTAATATTTACACACGTAGATGAGTCAAGAAAGAAAAGATTTTGAAAAATAGTTTATCCTCTCTATTAACATTATCATAAACAAGATAATGGTTTTAAATTAAAGGAAGCAAATTTAAATTATTAGAGAAAAAATAATACTTCAAAGGAGAGGATTTCATGAAATTTACAACAGCAAATTATGAAGAAATAAAGAATTTAGTACCTTTAACTGACAAAAAGAAAGATACATCTTAGATAGCAAAATTATTATAAGAGTTGATAGACATAGTGATGATCCAAAGAAAAAATGGCCAAGAAAGCTTACTTTAGTTAGAGTTTTATTATTTTAATATGTGATAGGATTAATCTTTTATGGAAGATGGCTTTTACATTTGGAATATAGATGTCAAGAATAAGATAAATTATATTAAGTTGGCTGCCATATTAATAGGTGTATTTTTAATCTGTCTATTTCCAATTTGGCCATTTTCATTTAAGTATGGTATATTTAAATTAACATTATATTTGCTTATATTTTTAATTGGACTTTAAGTAATTAGATTGTTGTTGTATTCAGTTATAAGATTATTTGGTATGAATTTTGGATTTTACCAAATATAAATGATGATGTAATTTTAATCTAAATTATATAGTCTCATGGAATTTTAGGATCATTTCTTCCTATTTATTACTGCTGAAAAAATAGAAATAGTACTTCGTTTCATAGTAACGATAGCATTTTTTGCATTAATTTTTTTAATTGTTTAGGAACCTCATCATCTCAACAATTTTTCAGATGCAAAAGGATAAACTTTAGATGATATTTTGATATTGGGAAAAGAAAAGATGGAAGCAAAATAAGTAAATTTTAAAATAGATGTAAGGAACCTTTGCATAGAAGAGCTATTCCTAATTTAAGTGAATTAATAAAGTAAGCAGAGGAAGATCTAAAAATGCTTAAAAGGAGATTTAAAATGAAAATTTGGGAGCAATGGAAATATAAAATGATTTGTGAATATTTAATAAATTTTGATAATAGGTTATGAATTATAAAATAAAATTTATTTTGTAGTCTTTGCAAGTAGGTTTACCAATAAAAAAATGTTTATATATTTATTTAATTTAACATATCAAAATTAAATAAAATTCTTTGATTAGAAAAATAATAGTAAATTATTTAGTTTTATACAAGCAAATTTATTTAAATGGGTTATTGAATAATGTAAGAAAAGATAAATAATTTTACACAATAGTTATTATTTTATATTTATTTAATAAATAAATTAACAGATTTATGCCATAAGAAGACATAGTTTAGAAATTATTGCAAAGAATATAAATTCTTGTAGATGAAGTAGAAACATTGACAGCTTTAGTAGATAGCAATGCATTAGAATAATAAGAAATGAATTAAAAATATTAGAATTTAATGGAGCTTTACCGACAAAAGGAACTAGAATGTTCTGAATTGTAGAATAAATTAAATCAGCAATTTAGTAGTATATATAAATTGATATAGGACTAAATGTAAAGGACCATTTAAATTAAATTAATGAAGAGAGATAACACATAACTAATTTATTAGTATAATAAAGAAATGATATACCTGAAACTTAAAATCAAGCCTTGTATCATTTATGTTAATAGAGAACTGCAGAGAACTAATTATTAAGAAATAGATAAGATTAATTGGAATAAGAAAATGCATTTTTCCATTCAGAAAACATAAGACTTAGAACATATATTCAACATGAGAAGATGTTCAGATAATTGGAATATGTTAATGGGAATTACAATCCATAAACTGTAGCACCTGGATAGAATGTTGAGATTCCTAATTTAGTTTTGGATCCAATGTATGAATAGAAATACCTATAAGAATATCTACAATCTAGACAAGTAGTATAGTGAGGAATATTTTTGTGATAATTTTATAAAAATAATAATCAAATGTTTTTGCAAGCGATGAAATTGAAAGACAATAGGTATGGTGCACAATAATAAAGATTGGAGCCTATTTAATTGAAGTACAGTCCAAAAGAACCTCGATAACATACTCCAGAAGGTTTGACTAAGATTGGTTTGTTCAACAGCACTCAATTTCAAAGGAAATAATCAGTTGAGAAACGTAAACTGAGCAGTTAAGCAGAAGGAAAAAGACCATAATCATCAGTATAAAGAATACCAAGAACAGCATTTTAAAAAAATACATTTGCAGCATAATTTGTTGTAATGATAATTATAAAAACAGGTAGTTCTTTTGTGAAAATGGAAATAATGGTGCTTTGGTTAGAAGAATTTTATAAGGAAGAGGTTGGTTTGCAGAATAGTAGACAAGTTTTAAGTAAGTTATAGATAATTAATGATAGTGTAAACTTTATTTGGAAGCAATCAAATAAAGGATTTAATTATTCTACTCTTACTTAAAAGAAGGTTTGTATTAATCATTTGGAACATCATCATGAAATCTCAAATAAAAATAAATTACATGATAATCTCAAAATGCATTGTTAGAGGATTAATAAGAATATGGATGATTTTGTACCTACAACATTTTCAATAAACCTTGATTCGACTACACTTTAATGGGATTTAAAGAAATTTGTTGATTTTTTTATTTAAATAAAGAAAGAGGGTAACCAAAAGAATATTTGGTTATTAAAACCTCCAGATCTTAATAGGGGAAGAGGAATATAATTATTTTCTGATCTTAAGGTGTTTATAAATTAAGTAGAGGAATTTTGTAAACTTAGAAGTTTGAATTCAAAAAGTAAATCATCATCTAAAGGAGCTAGAGGAGTTACAATTACATATCCAGATTAGAATGAAAGTAGATTATAAAGTTTATTTAGAAAGAATCAGGTCAAGCATAAATTAGTTTTACAATAGATTAAACTACTTGTAATGATCGTATAATAGTTTTACAAAAGTATTTAGAAACACCACTTTTATACAATGGTAGAAAATTTGATTTTAGAGTTTGGGTTTTAATTGATCATACTTCTAAATACTATTTTTTTAAGGAAGGGTAGAACAAATTAAATATTGTAGGTATTTGCGTTTGGCAAGTGAACATTTCGATGTAAACAATTTAAAATCTTTGTATATTCATTTAACAAATAATGCTGTTTAAAAGAATCATCCAAACTATGGTAAATATGAATTAGGAAACCAATTGAGTTTTTAAGATTTGTAACATTACTTAAATTAACAGAGAAATACTAAAGTATCATCAGCTGGAATAGTATTAAAAATGAAGGAATTGATTCACCAAACAATATATTGTGCTGGTTCTAAATTGCGTGATAGTTGATATATGTATATTAATTTTTTAGATCGCAAGGATTTCTAGTTTGAAATATTTGGATATGATTTCATGGTTGATAAAAATGGTCATATTTGGTTGATAGAAATAAATACTAATCCATGTATTGAAGAGAGCAGTCCCCTTTTATAAAAATTGATACCAAGAATGTTAAGTAAATTATGGTAGAAATCTTAGATGACGCATTTAGATTAACAATTGATAAAATATTTTCTCCGTTCAAAACTACATAAGAGAACTTTCTTACAAATTTACATGAATTTGCTATTCCTGGATATAGTGACAAAGATAACCTATGGGATTACATGGGATAAATTTGATTTAAAAGTCATTAAATAATATCAATACTTTATAAAATGGGATTTATATGTTCTAAGCCAAAAGGGAATCATACAGATAAAAAAATGGAAATCCAAAAACAAGAAGAAATTCAGTAAAGTTTAAGCACAACAAAAGAGGCAATTGATTTTGTGGAAAGCACTTCTTTAGCAAATGTAATGAGAACTAAGCCAATCAAATCTTATTTGGCTGAACAAATTGAAAAATAATAAATTTAGGTGGATTCATGTGAAATATTGGCAGATAAGATAGAGGCTAAATCTTAATTAATTATTCGAAGTTACAATCATTTTACTGAGAAAGCTTTAAAAATAAAGTCTTTAGTACTAGAGTATTACAAGAATGAATATATAAATTATATAAATTCTAATCTTGATACAAATCCTAATAAAGAATTTATATAAAAAGAAACAATTTAAGTAAATTAATTATGATTTCAATTTATAGTTATTAGTTGAAACTACAGTGATATTAAATTGTTTGATGGATAAGAATTTCGATGATGAAATTGAATTGTGGTGGGGAGACAATTACTTTAGCGATCGAATTTAAATTCTAGCTGTTAATATTCCTGTCAGCTCTAATAACACAGACAATATCACCAATCCAATTATATAATATATAAATGCTTTAAAAAATAAAATTCTTTAGGTGATTCCAATCTAAAATAATCAACCTCAATCTATTTCAAACAGTGTTGCTATCACTAATATACATTTAACTTAATTTTATAAAGATCTTAAAATGGAATTTGCAAAAAAAGTTGAAGAGGAAGAAGATATCAACTAATGAATAAAAATTATTAATTATTGAAAGTTCTAATAATAATTCATATAATTAATTCATTATGTTTATTAGTGATCGTGGTTCTCATGCTGCTCAGAATCAAGAATCACTTCTATATTACAGACTGGACATTTTTTATGATTTAAAAGCCATGCTTTTATACACTTCGAATGATATATATGATTGCATGGTAGCTATCTATAAACATTACCAGTTTATATTTGATCATAACAAATAGTGCAACTATTCATATATAGAATTAATAAATCTACATTTCTTCCACGTTATCGTTTGCTTCTTTGGTTCTTTTTGGAATCTCTTTTATTTATTATTTTGTCAACCCTACATTTTGATTACTAAATTATTGTGAACATATTCTTACCCAATTCTTTCTTATAGATTTAAAATTTATTCATAAGTCATATTGTCAATATTTACATTCAATTAATTTTAAGCTTATTGATTTAAATATTGCATTTCTTATACTATAGATTCATGCATTCCTAGTTGTAATAAAATTTATCTTAGTTCTTCTAATTATAAAAATGGAGCATTCTATTCTATTTTCATAATTTTGCATACATTAAGCATCTGTATATCGACCATAAAAATAATTCAAAGCATCTATTATTCTTCTCTTATACATTTTTTTCTTGTCTCTGCTACTCCGAAATTTATTTGAAACCTGTTGAAGTTTTGTTTATGTATCTTTAACTTTAATCCAATAATCAGAAACAGTCTAAAATTAATTTTAGAATTACAGAATTAGCCTTTCTCAATCTTTACTCCAATAACTCATTTTACTTCTTTAACTCTGCTATTTAATTTTAAAGTAATTTTATTTCTGAAGTTTGATCAGCTAGTCGTTATTCCAAAGCTAAAATTAATTAATTATATACTATCTTAAGTAGAAGGCATTTAACTTAGATTATTCTTGAAATTAGGACTTAATTTAAATGTCTAGACTATTAATATTGATATATTCTGTATACTTCTAAAAACCTATCTATTATTTCCTTTTGCATTTTTAGGTTGTTATTAATCTTTGGCAAACTAAGGAGTTTAAACTTTATGACATGAAGGGGGCCTAAAAATATTACTATTGTTATTCATATATTATAAAAAATATTTAAAAGCAATTTAATAATCATTACTTCTATTTACCATATACACAATCTTAAAACATACCAAGCATTCCGGATTTTCAATTCCTTTTATAATTAGGGTATGAGTTAAAGGTTTTTGATATAACAAGCATAGATTTTTCTGGTTAAAAATTTATTCTGAACATTCTTAATAAAATCTCTTATGACCTTAAAGCTAATTTATCATATTGTTTGTTTCTCATAAAAAATAAAACATTACTAAGCTATTTTAATTTCCTCTACTAGACGATTCTAGATACTTTCACTGAATGTTAATTTTTATAAAGGAGATGTTAATTAATGATCGAATCTTTTTTGTTATCTTTTCATTACAATTTTATAATTGTTTCTTCTTAATATATATTTTCATTTTTATCAAAAAAAACTGACAGATCTGAATTTCTTATATTAAGACAATACTAATTCTATTTGCTACTTTTTAACATAAATTTCTTCTTTTTTCTTAAAATAAGTAGCTATTCATTTTATAATAAATTCATGTATCTTCAATAAACTATTTACTTCAAAAATTTTTATCATTTCTATTAAAAGCAACTCATAATTCATCTTAAACAAATTAAGTTCAATTAAATGTTTAAATGTTTGATTCATAATAGAAAATTCTGTTAAAATCTTATCGTTTGTTCAGGTTACCAATTCTTATGCATCAGAAATATTAATAAATAAATTTAAAATGTTATCTATTTCTCTTTTTTTTAAGAACCATCCCAGAAAATTCTACCCAAATCTTTAAAATATCATATTTATTATTCATTTTATTAAAATTTATAATTATAATTTGATATTTTACTTCCAACAAAAAAGTTTCTAAGTTTTATCTTTTAATTATATAAGATTACAAATATTTTATTGAAAATATGTTTTTACCAATCTTAAGAATTAATCCAAAAGTAACAAAAAGTATGTCTTATTTATAAAACAAAAACAAAAAAATTTGAAAAACTTGATTATGGAAAGATTTTAAAAATTAATTTTAAATTTTCATATTACTTTTTAACTCTAACAGAAGTAACAACGTACATTTATATAAACTAAATTGCTTATGGTAATGGATTAATTCTTAATTAATATTCAATCTAAAAATATTCAAAATTTGAATTGCTTAAAAGTAACACAAAATATTTATTATTATAAATAAATTAATAAAGAATAAATTGAGGTATTTTAATTATCTAATAAATTTGTATAATTATATTCTTTATAATTAAACAATAGAGGTTTTTATCTAATAAATTTTTGATTCATTAATATTATTTTTATAATTGAAACATTTGATGGTTTTGGTAAATTATGATAGTTCATATTATAAAAGTTGGTAGATAATATTTTATGGTAATAAAAAATGATAAAAAGAGTAATTTTTAAATAGATATTAATGAATACAACATAAATATTGTACCTTTGGAAAAGATGGATAAAAAATATTCGATTGATTTAAAAATGATTCATTTGATTCCGCATTAATTTAATAATGAATCTATTTCATCAAAATCCTTATCAAGCTCATTCAATTCTTATTTAATATGCTAATTAAATTCCTGCTATTTTAGTGATTCTTTTGAAATTTTTTATTCATCTTTTTAAAATGAATCTAACTCTAATTGTATTTTTTATTTCATATTTGCTGAAACTTATTCATTTTAATCATTTTATGAAACTTATTAAACAGATTATTGGTTTTAAGAAATTTAATCTAGTTCTGCTAATTAAGATTTCCATTAAGTAAGTTTTAAGAAGATATCATCATCAAGTTGATTAAGATTAAGTTAATTAGTTGGATAATTTTCTAAATTTTCTAATCTTTAAGAACTTTCTTATAATTTTAAAGTCACTTCTTAGGTTTTTTATTCACTAGCCATATACTTTGTAATTTTAAGATATTCTTTCATATATTCTTGTCTAATCTTTTATAATTTCTAATTTAAATCTGCTTATTATTATAATAATTCTTCTTAACGAGTGTCTTCTTCTTCATCTATTTCATAGCCACTTTTGTAGATTATTTTTTTAGTTTGTTAATTTTGCATGAGTTGTTTTTTCAATTCAAGATTTTCATTTTTTTTCCATTCTCTTAAATCTTCAATAGCAGAATCAATTTCCTCCATCAATTATTTATTTTAAGCAGAACGTTATGATGATGCACTCATTGTTCTTAATGTTTTGATACAGTTAGGATTAAACATATTTTATAAGTAATGTTAATAATCAAATAAAATAATAAAATTATGGATGTCTTGGAGCTGGTCCTTTTTTCATTGTAACATATCTATCAATATAGGATTCAAGTTCTCTTTTAATTTTCTTATCATTGACTTTTTCTTCTGGAACATACTCTAATAGATTGGCAAATTTATTATCATCTTAAAATCGTTATTTAGTTTAAATCAAAGCTTATTAGATCTTAAAAGTATTCATCTTAAAATAATTAATGAATTATGATAAAACTTTTCAAGAAAAAGATCATATTATTCATTGGCTTTAATGGCTTCATGAAAATAATTATCTTCTTTGCTTCTTGGTAATTATCTAATATGCTTAATGACCTAAGATTGTTATTAAATTTTATACTTTTTATTGTTTCTCTGCAACTATCTTTTATGTACCTATTCTATGACCAAAAATCATATCATTATTAGGTTGGTTTGTTTAAGATTAATGTAGTTTCATTTTTTTATTTATTAAATTAGTTTATGGACTAAGATTAGATAATACTCATATTAATTGGATTAGTTACCATTATTCTACTTACCATATTATACTTTATAGTGAGAAAAAAACAATAATAAATACCAAAGACTTAACTTGATAATTCAACTCATATAGAAATTACATAAATGGAATAAAAACCTTAAAAAAGTTATTAGGGAATGGCCAAAAAGTAATTAAAAATAAAAATACCTAATAGCTGATTTGATCCTTGATCAATTTTTTATAATATTATAAATATATATTTAACGAATACATGTCTTTTACTTATCTGCCATTTCATAATCTTGCTTACTGTCCAAAGTAAGTAATAGAATTTGTACAAAATCCAAATCTCAATCTCCTAGATTTGAACCATATGATAGCATAATTAAGGATGCCTAAAAATCATCTAAAAGCAATTTAGAAAATGTAAATATTAGCATCACGGTAAGAATAATTCTTGTAGGATGAAAATACTATGTAAAATTAAGAGGAAGAAATCCATTCTCCAAAACAACTCTTAAGTTAAATTCCATACTGAAAACTTATAAATATATATTTTATAAAAAATATAGTCATTAAACTTTATATTCTCTTGCTTCATTCACCTAAATTATTAAATTACAAGCCATATCATTGTATATTTATGGATGTAAGCAATTCCAAAAATATGTCACGAAATCTACTATTTATTCATCACTCATTCCATTTCCACTTTTTTATCTCATCTCTTTTTCAGCCTCTAATCTCCATTTCAAACTCAATTCATATGGATTTGGTTTTAATTGAATTAATAAATCAAATTCCTCCCAAATTGGTTCATACAGTTTTAACTATTCATTCATAAAAAGTTCCAAATCCTCATTATATTATTTTCCATTCAATTATATTTTATCACAATCCTTTTATTTAAATTCTTCTAACTATTTGCTCTTATAACCAACAAACCATCCTTCAAATAATAATACTTAACACTAAATTTTTTTAAATCCTACTCTATCTCCTTATCCTTAATGTAAACTTTTATCAAATATTGGAACTTCAAAACTATTACCTTGCTTAAATGATTTAAGACAATTGATTATCATTTAATAATCATGTGTTCCTGGTGGTCCTCTATATTTATATTTCTTTTTATCTAAATTTTGGCGATCAACATAACTTAGATAAAAATCATCTATGCTAATACTATCAAACTAGATATTTAATTAAGATAATTGTTTTTTCATTTGAGTTCCAATAGTTGTTTTACCAACTCCCTACATTCCTTATAATCCAATCAAAAGTGGACATCCCTTATATTTTTATTTAATTAGAACTTAGAGTTGTTCCATAAATTATTAAATATAATCATAAATTGTGCTATTGCAATTTGTTTTAGAAATTTGGATCAAATATAGGATTCCCATTAAATGATTACTTTTAATCTTAAATATTTTTATCGATTCTCTTTCTTTAAGATTATGAGGCTGCTTATCTAATTTTCTTCTCCTGAGATATCAAATCCTAAAGTCATGTAAATGCCTGATGTACTTTCACTAAACGTGGATGCTCGAATTCTTTTTAATTATATGTTTCAACAGGCTTTAATTTTTTTATAATCCATTTAGGACCTGTTCTTTATGTAATTTACTATAAATGAACACCAAATTGCTTTTCTAATACCTTATTCGCCCAATTTGCTCCATAAGGATTTTACTTTTTATCTCTTTGTACTATAAACTAGATTATTACAGCTAAAGCCTACTTTTGTTTGAATTCTCTTTCTTATCACTTTTATTTGAGATTTCTAATTTTTCTAGATGACTTGATTGTTTCTAACTTTCACAATCATCATTTCCTAGAAATTATAACATTGTTAAGGGTTCACTCAGTTCTGCAACATATAATTAACATTGGAAAAACAGACTATCTCTTTACTGTTTCATAATTAATAAATACTTAATATTTTGATAATTCATAGATCATTTGATCATGTAAAAAAATTAATTCCTTAACTTAAAACCCATGCACCAACTAAAACTACCCAAAATTCAAATTTAAATAACACATTTTACAATATTGATGATTATTCTTTTTACTGATGTTCTAAAAAGGCCAAATCTTCTTGACTAATTGTACTCTATTAGTTTAATTATTATTATTTAAACATATTAAAAGCATTATCTCTTTATTGTGTAACATTGTTTAAATATGCTTTTAAATCTTAAATTTCTCTTTATGATTTAAATGAGTTCTCTTCTAGATTATCATATTAAACTTTTAATTTAAATATTTCGTTTTCAGCTTCTGTAAGTTTATTCTATAAATTTTAAATTGTTTTTATATATTCCTGTTCTTTTTATTCAGGCTATTATTTTTATTAAAATTAAGATTTGGCAAATTCTAATGCTTAAACTTCCCTCAAGGCTTCTTTTTATAAATCTAATTATTGCTACTAATTTAATTATGATTATTCATATCTAAATTATTCTTATCTTTTTTATTCTTATTATTATTAATCTAACCTTTATTAATCCTAAATATATTCTGAATATTGTTTTTGTTTTTTTTCTTCTTATTCTTTTAACTATTGTTTATATAAGGATAGATATTTACAATTTTTTAATAAAGCTCCTATTATTACTTTGTTTCAGCTTATTATTTTTATCTTTATTCTTCCTCTCTTTTTTAAGCTTCTTCTCTTTCCCTTTGAAGTCTTATCTTTTATTCTTCTTATTATTTTAAAAATTCTTTTTATTGTTCTAACAGTTTTTATTTTTAATCCTCTTACTACTTTTTGATAATTTCTTAAAGCTTTTCTTATTCTAGTCTTTTTCTCTATTGCTCTTCTTCATCATTTTTAGAAAATAGGGTTGAAAATTTCTAAATATCTTAAGGTGTCATCTCTGTACCAACAATATATTAAATAAATGTGTAAGTGTCTTATAAAAATTCAACCTATTAAATTGATAATAATATCATACACTTTCATTTTCCACCTCATCCTCAAAAACAATATACAAAACATTATTTACTTATTTACTTTTGACAATTTTCCCAATAACTTTAAGTTTATTTAGAACTTCCTACTCACTTATTCCTTCTGTTAAACCCCAAATTTTAAGATAATTAGCTTATTGATCCATAAAATTATTTAATATATTTTTAGAGATACTTTTATTTCAATTTAGTCTAATTATGCCTTATAGAATTCCTCTTTTATCTTTTTCATATGATTTTATGGAAAGTAGGAATACTCCAGATAAATATAAATCATCCAAGATGTTGTTTTACAATAACATTTACTATTATAGATATATCATTCAATTGAACATCATTCAATAGATCATCACCTAATCAATAACTAAAACTCAAAAACCAATTGTCTAAAACTCCAAAAAGATTTTGTAATGTCTCACAATCGATTAAGAATTGTTTGAATCAGAGATATTTAATTTTTCGAATACTATATATATCAGACAATTTTGTGAATTATTTATGTTGTTATTAAAAAAGATCAATAATGTATATTCCTTATTATTTTTAAACTTATAAAAGAATGAATTAAGAGTAGGAACTATTAACTAAATTAGTCACTCTATTTAAATCTTAGTACAAAAAATTGAAGTAGATCAAACTTCAAGATTATTCTATAATAAATAAGATTAATTCGCATTAAAATTAATGAGTATGATCTAAAATAGAATTAGAATGATATTTTGATAAGATTAAATTACTTCAATCATAATAATTTAGGAATGAATCAAAATAAATATTAAGAGAAATATTTGATCAAAAATAAATGAATAGAAAAAAATATTTTGAATTAAAACTTTGGGAACATTAAGAAATTTTAAAAATATTTAATTTAAAATATATATATTAGCAAATTCAAAGATGAAATTTGTTTAAATCAAGTTAGTTTGAATAAGAAAATATTATAATTTCTAGAGAGATAGAAAATTTAAAATGTAAAAAAGGAAAGAAAAGGAAGTGAATAGATAAAGCCAGAATAGAATATGAATTATTATTAAAGTGAAAGAAAAAGATTGAATAGTAATATATTATAAATTTGTTTCTGTTAAATTAATAATTTGAAATTTGAATTAAACAAGCATTAGAATTAAATAATGATATGCTTTTAATAATAATTTAAATTTGATAGTAAAATGTAAACAAGATTCAAAATAATTAGTAATAAACACTAGTAAAGTATAGAACTTATTTAAATAATTGAGAGATCCTAATCAAAATAATAAGTAAATTAATGAGGAAATAATTCAAAATTAAAATTTGTGAACACATATTACACAATAAAAATATTCTATAATAAATATAGAAAATTAGAGATCAGAAAATCTGAAGGTTAATTTTATTATATAAGATTTAAAACTAAATTTCTTTATAGCTGAATATCATAGATAAATTGAGTATAATGAAATACATCAAAATTAACATAGCCTTTTTGTTATAATAAGAATTAAGTTAAAATATTAAATTTAAATTCATAAATGAGACCATCTTTAGGAAAAAAATTAAAATAGGACGATTCTGATAATAAATTTAGAGAGAAAATCTATCGGTCTATGTATCCATCTCCATGTTCATCATAGTAAATATTTAATTTTGAAAATTTTAGTGATCCAAATAAATGGCTATAAAATAATGACATTTCATGGTTGTCTCATTCAATAGAATAGGACATTGATAAAATTTTATAAATAGCTGTTCCTTAACCTATTAAACCGTAAAATAATAGAAGAGCTAGTGCAAATGATATTCGAGAAGAGTTTGATGACAAATAAGGAAAATAAAAGAGAAACACATGGTATGTTGACAATCAACAAGAAGATTAACCTTAAAATAGCAAACTTAAAATTAATATGAGTTCAATTATTTGTGAATTCCCAATTTAAAAAGTTTCGCGGTAATCAATTTCATAACAACCAAAAACGCCAAATTGTTAAAAATCGTTTATGGAAGCTATTATTTCAAAGTATTAATAATAAAATGATCAAGAATAAGATGATTAATTTGAAAAAGAATAAAAATATTTATTCTAAAATGATTAATAATTATAAGATCAAATACTAGATCCTCAAATATATGGAGATGATATAAATGAAAATGTTTTAAATGAAGAATTATAATAAGTATCTCCATAAAACGATGAAGTCAATTAAAAAAAATAAAAAAACAAAAAACCTAAAAAGATACGTAGAAAAAAAAAATGCTATGTAATAATTCCTAAAAGAAAATCAAGATAAACAAAATTATAAGACCGAATATTGCCACTTCCTGAACCTGCTTAAAATGAATTTTATTAAGAAAAAACTAAATAAATTAGACCGTCTTAAACTTTAGATTAACCAATATTCAATACAAAGTAATGTTGGGCTAGAATGTCATTAAGAAAAGAAGCCAGAAAATATGAGAAATATTAAACTTAAGAATTTAAAGATTTATTACGATCATTACCTGGATGTTATATCCATAAATGTGAAGGAGATTTAAGAATAGATAAGATCAGACCTATGTAAAATGCAAAAGGAAAATATTTTTAAACATTTGAATTATGGATAAATCCTTTAGTATTGATAGGTCCAATTAATATGAATAATTCAGTTAAATTAGTATAATAAATCTCTAATCTTAGCATGTAAGATTTAAAAAAGGATATTCTGGATAGGTTTTTTGTGACAGCACCTTATCAGAAACTTTACCATTAAATTAAATTGATGGGAAAACATTCTAAAATTAAAAATTAATTCTTGCTAATAACTCTGATCACGTCATTAAAATGATCTGTTGTTTAGTTAATATTGAAATTAAAAGTCCTACAAAAAAACGTAAATGAATAATTAAAATTATAATTATTATTTTTTTTTACATGATTTCTTTTGATTTTTTAAATAATATTCCTATATATAAAATTGATAATTTTAATTTATAAGTTATTTTTATAAAATAGAGATTTTTTGCAAATTTCAATTTTAAGAATAATTCTATTTATGTATCATCAAATACTAGGATTAAGACTGAAATATTGCTAAAATATGAAATCTTAACATTTTCATCATAATCAAAAAAAATGACTATTATATTATATTGTTAAGATTTTTGAAGTAGAGTCTAAGACTAAAATTTAAAGGTGGATAAATTAATAAAGCCTATTAATGAATGCAACTAATTTTTAAAATTTTTCTGATGAAAGACATTTCTTGAGTGATTAAGAAAATATAAGTAATTTTCTAAATAAATTTATACTTTCAGATTCAATTTCTAAATTTGTTAAAATCTAAAAAAATCAAACTATTTTAAAAAATAAGATAAATTTAATCATTAAATCTGTGAGATGTTTAAATTCTTTATGTTTTTAATTTAAAATGATGAAACCCTAACCCAAACTCAAAAAATAAAAGAATATTTATATTAACAAGAAAACAAAGCATACATGAATTTCAAACAAAAGTGCTTATATCACCTAAAGTAGAACATTCCTTTTAGAATTAGAACTGTTTAGATTATTAGATTTTGATTTAGGAATTGATGATTTAATGTAGTATTATTAATTAGATGCAGAAGAATACATACAATTTTATTATAATTTAATTTTTAGCAGTGAATTTTAAATAAATAAGGTTCTGATTTGATGGATGTAGTATATTCTCCTGATTAAAATAAGCTAGCAAAATAAGCATAGAGATTGATGAAAATTTTAACTCTAGATTACTCAATGTATATAAACCTCAAATTAAAGAAATTCTCAATAGTTGAAACTATATTAGAATAAAATAATATTTTTAAGGATTGAATAAGATTTTATATTTCATTTTTATTTCATTTTCTATTAACTTCCTATTTTATTATTCTAAGATTTAGCTTTGTTTGAATGTTTCTATGTGGATGCAGAATATCTAGTTCTATTTATTCCTTTTAAGTTAGGTTTGTCTTTGTCATGATTTAAGAAATTATTTTATTCTGTATTTGTATTTATTTGATCATTAGAATCATTGGAAGAGATATTTTTTTTTTTTCTCAACCTTTTATTTAGCTCTTTTTTAGATGATATATCATTTGATTGATCATTTTTTGGTTTAATTTTTTCAGAACTTTTCGAAAATTTAGGAGGATTTTTTTTAGAAGGTTTATTTTTGCCTATTTATTTAATTTCTGTGGCTAGTTCTTCTTAGTATTTAATTGTTTCATATTTAGGATCTAAAGCATTTGTTTCACTTTTAATTTTCCTATTTTTCGATCTTGTTTGTGTTTCCTTTTTATATAAGTTTTTTTAAAAAGTTTATTTAAATTGTATATTAGGTTCTACTTTTTTTTAAAGTAGTTTGAACAAAACATTTTCTTTTTATTCTTCATAACTTGATGGAGTAGATTTTTAAAGTTAATCAAAACTGTCTTCTTTGTCTTCTTTTTAATTTAAATTCAAGTCTTCTTTGAATGGGAGTTGAATAAATTGATCCTACGAGTTTTCATACTAATGATGAATATTTCCTAAATTTTATATTTCTAATTAAAAGATACTCATGTCATCTTATTAACTTAATTCTATCTAATGATTATACTTATTGTGATCATCATCAGCAATAAATTAGTTAGTTAAATACATAGGTTATTAGTCTTAATTGCCTGAATAATTGTCTGAAATATAATTATAATTAGGTTCTATTTAATTTTGAAATGATTATGAGAATTATGATTTCTATGAAATCTCTTAGCTTTCAATACATACTTTTTTTGATATCATTTCAATATCAGATTCTAAACCAACAGATATATCATTTGGATTAATTATAATATATTATTGCTCTTTTTATCTTTTTATAAAAGCTTCATAGACTTAAGGTTTGAATCGTGACATAAATTATTCTCTTAGATTACGTTTCTCTTTTAAATACTATTCTTTAGTTATTAACTTTGCCTATTTAGCCTATTATAATTTATCTAAACATTTGCTGTATAGATATTCAAGACATACAGCTTTATGAAAAAGCATTCCAAAAAAGCCTAATTCTTTGAGACACCATAAACACTTGACCATATTTTTTTAATTAAATTTCTTAAATGATACATGTATTATAAAATGAATTAGGTCTTGAATTATTTTGCCAAACTTGAATAAGATATTTACCTATTATAAAGAATATAATAATAGTAATAATAATAATTAGTTTTAAATAAATAAAAAGTTAAAATAGGCCTCTTTGTATGAATAGAAGTAGTGAGATTAATAGAATGATTGGTTTAATAAATATATGATTAAATTCATTAATTTAATAATATTAGCATAGCAGTCATATTGTCACAACCATATCCAGTTGAAGTGTCAGCAGCTAAGGAAGTATCAAGTAATTATTCCAATATAATGGATGGTTCTTGTTTCTCAGCCACACGTATGGATATAAATTCCATCACTTTATAACTGTTTTAGGTTTCGAATACACCATCGCATCCCAAAAAGAGAAAACTAATAATTATAAATTGAATTAAATTACCGATCATCTTTATTTAACTTAATTTTCCTAATTTCAGGTTCTGCTATAACCATTTATTAATTAGCAGGTAATGGTTCCTGCTTAAATTCAAAATCACCAAAAGCTCTGGAAACTGATAAAGTACCATTTAAACGACCTTATTCATCTACAAAACCTCCAGCATATCTTATTCGCGCCAATTCATTGCTTGGAAGGTGATCTTTAGTTAATTCAATGGTTTCGTCATCTCTCATTAATAGACATCGAGAGTCTCCTAAATTAGCCACATAAAGTATTTTATCTGCTATTAATGCTACAACAGCAGTAGAACCTATAAATGTATCTTTAAGCTTATATTATAAAATATATACTTTTGATTTCATTATTTTTAATCATATCGTCCAGCTATAAAAATGTGTCATGAAGTGATTGCATAAAATCCATTTTTTCAAATGCAACTTAAGAAATTAGCACATTCATGAAATTTTCAGCTAGAAATTATGAAATCCCAGAACCACCATGTCCATCAAATACTGCAAAAAGAGAAATATTTTCAATAAAATTTGGTTTCATCAAATGAGCATCTTCCATTTACAATCGCCATCCTATTCATTAATATTATTCATATACCTTGCATAGCAGTAGTATAACACGATAACTAACCACTAAATTAATATTCATGGGATTTCTAAGTATTAGGTTGGGATAAAAAAGATCCCATATTTATTATTTATAAATAATAATTATGTGCTCACTTATCGAAATTTGCATTTGAGTTGTATAATATCAAGTAATATTTTATTTGATATCATCGGTTTATGACAATTTATAATACGAAATATTATAATTTAATAATTGTCGTATTATTATGAAATATTTTTATAAAATTCCTTTTTTCTTATCTCATCAAATATTCATTTTTAGTTTGCTTTTACAATCTTTGTTTTCAATAATTATTCAGTTTCTAATATTAAAATAAAGGAATTTTTAACTAAAATTTACTAATTAACTTATATCAATTAAAAATTCATTATTCTAATAAAATCTTTGATTAAACACTTGAATTTACGAAAATTTATAATTAATTATATTATCAATATATCATCATTTAACAACTACTTATTTTTATAAATAAGGTTATAATTTAATTAATAAATTTGGTCTTCTTTTCATCAAACTTTTATCTGACCAAGATTAATTATTTACAATTTTTTCATGAATTGTTGGTGTTTTTTTTTGAATCAATTCATTTAATGGCTTAAATATTAACGATTAATGTTCTGAATTCAATGTGACAGCCTTATTTGATAAATAGGATTTGATGATACTATTGGATTGTTTTTTAAGCATATCTGAGACCAAACTCTTTTTTTTTTTCTGATTAATTTTCAATGATTATTTTCTATCAGTAAAGTTCACTCTTCTTTGATATGCTCGAATTTAATCTAAAGCAGGAGAAAATTCAACTTGATTTTCAGGCTCTTATTATGTTTTGACTATATATTCAGAAATTTATTTTTAGTAATTAATTAATTTTTCTTTTGAAACTAATACACTTTTTTTTGGTATTTAGAAGCAAGTATTTCTTCTTCGGGCACTTTTTCTTAACATAATTAAGAGTGCTATTTTTCTTTTTAATGAATCATCCAAATTCAAAATAGGACCATGATGTTATTCATCAGGCATAGTTTTAGCTCTAGTATGTGTCATTCGAATCAATATAGGTAAAGGANATTTTCAATAAAATTTGGTTTCATCAAATGAGCATCTTCCATTTACAATCGCCATCCTATTCATTAATATTATTCATATACCTTGCATAGCAGTAGTATAACACGATAACTAACCACTAAATTAATATTCATGGGATTTCTAAGTATTAGGTTGGGATAAAAAAGATCCCATATTTATTATTTATAAATAATAATTATGTGCTCACTTATCGAAATTTGCATTTGAGTTGTATAATATCAAGTAATATTTTATTTGATATCATCGGTTTATGACAATTTATAATACGAAATATTATAATTTAATAATTGTCGTATTATTATGAAATATTTTTATAAAATTCCTTTTTTCTTATCTCATCAAATATTCATTTTTAGTTTGCTTTTACAATCTTTGTTTTCAATAATTATTCAGTTTCTAATATTAAAATAAAGGAATTTTTAACTAAAATTTACTAATTAACTTATATCAATTAAAAATTCATTATTCTAATAAAATCTTTGATTAAACACTTGAATTTACGAAAATTTATAATTAATTATATTATCAATATATCATCATTTAACAACTACTTATTTTTATAAATAAGGTTATAATTTAATTAATAAATTTGGTCTTCTTTTCATCAAACTTTTATCTGACCAAGATTAATTATTTACAATTTTTTCATGAATTGTTGGTGTTTTTTTTTGAATCAATTCATTTAATGGCTTAAATATTAACGATTAATGTTCTGAATTCAATGTGACAGCCTTATTTGATAAATAGGATTTGATGATACTATTGGATTGTTTTTTAAGCATATCTGAGACCAAACTCTTTTTTTTTTTCTGATTAATTTTCAATGATTATTTTCTATCAGTAAAGTTCACTCTTCTTTGATATGCTCGAATTTAATCTAAAGCAGGAGAAAATTCAACTTGATTTTCAGGCTCTTATTATGTTTTGACTATATATTCAGAAATTTATTTTTAGTAATTAATTAATTTTTCTTTTGAAACTAATACACTTTTTTTTGGTATTTAGAAGCAAGTATTTCTTCTTCGGGCACTTTTTCTTAACATAATTAAGAGTGCTATTTTTCTTTTTAATGAATCATCCAAATTCAAAATAGGACCATGATGTTATTCATCAGGCATAGTTTTAGCTCTAGTATGTGTCATTCGAATCAATATAGGTAAAGGAAGTGTTTTACTACGAAGTTTCTTAATTTTATTTTTTTGTAGTCTACTAATGAATTCTTTATTTAAAGAAAATAATTACTATATTACATTCTCAATCGATTAAACTTTTTCTTTTTAGCTTTTTCTATATTGTAATGATGCTATTTTACAATTGTTTTAGGTGCTTTGTTATTAAGATGCCTTTATTTTTCACTTAAAATTTCATGGTAACTCCACCTTCTGGTAATTTTTGGAATTGGAGCACTGCTTCTTCTTTGAGTACTGCTTATTGATTTTTCACTCTTTCCTAATGTTTCAAATGGATTTGGTTTAGATGGGAGTCTCTTTAGAGCATTCTTTTCAATTGGTGGTTTCAATAGCATAGGACTCTTTGAAAGTTATTTTTTAGGTGTTAATAATAAAAGAGCATGTTGTTCAGTCTTGAAACTAGTTGATCTAAATAATCTTTTAGGTTTCATTTTTTTTTCATTCCTGTCTTATGGAGATTTGAGTAATATTTTCTGTTGCTTTACTAGTCTTTCCAATTGATTAGAAGTTATAAGATTACCAAAGGTTAGATTTTGATGAATCATTTAATTTTATATTGAAGTTAAATCAATTAAATAAATAACATCAATAAATATTTTAAGTATCAGACTGCCAAAAAAAATATTAAATAATAAAATTATAGAATTTACCTCATTCACCGTAATCACTATTTTAAGCTGATGATTCTGAATGTATTTTTGATTAGATTATCAAAAGTTGAAAATTTAGTTAAGATAAATATTTAGATATTTATAAGAGATGCTAAAATTTATTTGATTTTTAATTTAAAGGTTAGATGATAATCTATGATATTTAGTCAGAATTTACAAACCATTTATTAATTTGTATTGTTTTGTGCTTAGTTCTGAAAATTGGGAGTTCGAGGTTGAGAGTATTTTATTCAGAATTATTGATTTAATGTAAGTTATTCTGGATCTTATTGATAAAGATTATTCATCATCTTTATAAAATTAGATTGGAGGAGGAAAAATTTTAACAATGATTTAATTATCAACATCAGATTATTTATTGATTAAGTAAGAGATTTAATTTAATTGATAAGCTTTTTTTCATATCAGAAGTAGACGTATATACTTCTTGTAAATATATTCTATTATAGATTATTATCCTACTTATTTTTGAAGATATTATTAATGACAGCTTGCGATTTGCTGAATCCTATTCCCAGACTTAAAAAAGTGTACAAAAAGAGGTCCATAAAAATTTATATATATATAAATTAAATTATTGGTTAAAGGATGGAAATAACTGGATGATGGAAATATTTTATACGTGTTTATATTGTAAAATCATTTTTTGGCTTTGTTGGTTTTAGCAGCACCTTTTTATGCTTTTTATTAAGCTTTGACTTCTGCTTTTTATGCTACTTTTTAAGCTGCAGCAGGTTTCTTCTTTTAAGCTTCAATTTACTTTTACTTTCTATCTTTAATTTCTCTAGCTGCTTATTCAGCTTATGCCTTTCTAGTTTCTAAATTTCATTAGAAATATGTATTACTATCATCTTCCTTTCTTCTTCTTCTGATTTCTTCTAATGAAATACCAACAATTGCTCTTTGTACTTTAAGATTTCTAATTCTTCTTTTTTTTGCTCCTTCATCTGTCTTAATTTTCTTATTTAATCTTCTCCAAGCAACAGTCCATTGAATTTCTTATGATTTAATCTTAATTATGATTATGATTATTAATATACTTTTCTTGCACTAAAAGCTCTACTCTTTTAATTCAAGTAATAGAAGAGTCTGCCATCTTTGGCAACAAATCTTCTTCCATGTCCAGGATAGATTCTCCATTCGCTAAAAGAGCACAAATCTGTTTTAATAACCATTATTTAAAAAATATTTAAATCTTAATTTTCATTCCATTACAGAGTGTTTCAATGTTTTATCTTCTGGATCTTCAATCTCTCCTGTCCATTTTTTTGTTTTTAATTTTCCTTATAATTCATTAACAACATCTTATTTTTCTTATTATGGTTCATTAAGTTTTTCAAGCTAACCTAATTTTTCTTCTATTTCTTCTAATTTAGCAAGTTCAATCATTTATTTAACTTATTTATCTTCATCTACTTCTTCTGATTCTTCTTTATGTTCTATCTATTCTGTTAACTTATCTATAAGTTCATTCTATTTCAATAAAGCATTTAAATCATCTACTAAATCTAATTCTTCTATCTCATTATCTTATAATCCTACATATGTTAATCCAATATCTTCTCTTTCAAGAACATTTATAAATTCAAATATAGACTTATCTGTTAAATGATTATTCCATAATTGTAGTTTCTTTAAATACTTTAAACTAGGCCATAATATTGATGCAGCACTATCTGAAAATCCTGTATTTCCTAAATTCAGATCTTCCAATATTTTATTTTTCTTTAAACAAATTGCTATTTATTTTATTGTTGCCAATTCCATTCCAATATCATTCAAATATAAAATTTTTATTGTCTTATTCTTTTTTAATGCTTAAAAGAATGGAACCAATGATTTTGATGTCAATGGATTATTACCAAAATGAATTACTGATAAATTAGGAAGACTATTTGTAGCCAATAATGTAGAAAAACAAACCAATCCTATAAAAATTATATTATACTTTTAATACCATAATCTGATATATTATTTGCTGGCACTTATAATTATTACAGATTCTTTAATTCTGGTAATGCATAACAAAGTTAAATAAAAGTTGAATCATCAATCGAACAAGAACTCATACTCAATATTTTCAATTATTTGAAGCAACTTGAAATCTCTATCAAACCTTAAATACCAATCTACAAATATATAATTCACAATTATCCTACTTCAGTAATTTCATTATTCCCAATATATATTTCTTTAATTTTATCGTGCCATTACAATCCTGTCAACATATCAATAAATCCTCTGTCACTTATTGAATTTGCTCCAATATGAAATACTGTTAATTCTGCTTAACATTCATGAAGATATAATGCTATCTTAATATATTACAATAATATTTTACAGTCAAAGCATCTAGATCATCTAATTTCTTTGCACTTACATCTAAAAACTTTCCACAGCTTCTCAACTCTTCTAACAACCATTATTTACGTTTTTCAACCTTTTCTTCAAATTCCTTTTTAAATTATTCTTCATCTATTTCCTTCTCATTTTGATCCATTTTTATTATATATATATATAATATTTTCGTAACTTAAATACTCCAATCATATGATCTATACAAATTGAATGTGATTCATATAATAGTGAATTTTTTCAACAAACTATTCAATTCTTACAAATGAAATCAAATATACAAATATTATGACATTTTTTATTTTAAAAAAACATAAATATTTTTAAAAATGTAAGGCCATGAAGATATTACCAAAGTTTATACATTTGAAAAAACATTAGGAGAGTAAGTTATGAATCTTAATAATTTAGAGGTGCCTTTGGTGTTGTAAAGAGAGCTAAAAAGAAGTCAAATGGAGAAATGTATGCCGTAAAAATCATCAATAAGTATTTTATTAAAGTAATTATCAATTAGAGACAATTTATCAAATGAAGACTTATAAGCTTTACAAACTGAAGTAGAGATTTTGACTTAAGTATGATATATAATATTTATATATAGATTGATCATCCAAATGTTGTTAAACTTTATGAAATTTATGAAGATGACACCAATTTTTATATGGTTTTAGAATTGATGACAGGTGGTGAAGTAAAAATATGAAATTAAAAATTATAAGCTTTTTGAAAGAATAGTGGAAAAAGATCATTATAGTGAAAAAGAGGCTGCTGCTACATTAAGACCAATAATTGATGCTCTTTCTTATTGTCATAAGATGGGGATAGCACATAGAGATCTAAAACCAGAAAATCTTCTATATTCAAGCAAAGACCCTGGTGCATTATTAAAGGTAAGTGATTTTGGACTTGCTCGTTTTATTGCTAATGATGAAGTTATGATGACTTAATGTGGTACTCCTGGATATGTTGCTCCTGAGATTCTTTCAGGACATGGATATTCTGAAGCAATTGACTTTTGGTCAGTTGGTGTCATACTATATATCATGTATATTTATATCTAAATATTTTATAGGTTATGTGGATTTCCACCTTTTTATGATGAAGATAATGACAAACTATTTAAAATCATCAAAACAGGATAGTTCTCTTTCCCATCACCTTATTGGGATAGCATTAGTAATGAAGGTAAGAATTTTTTAAACTTATTATTAAAGCTAAGGATCTTATAAAAGGTCTTTTAACTGTTGATCCAACTAAAAGATATGGAACTGAAAAGATTCTTAAACATCCATGGTTAGTAAATAATACAGCAAAATCAATTCCAAACATTTAAAATAAAATGAAAGAATTTTATGGAAGTGCAACAATGAAGGTAGATTTTTATATAATCATTATAGAAAATGGGTAATTTTGTTAAGTTAGCACAAAGATGGGGTAAATTATCATAAATAAAAAAGAAATGATTATTAATATATCATCAAAATAATTATTGTTTATTTAATATATTATTTTATAACACATTATAAATATTGAAAACAAGTATATATATATATTTCTAATTGAGTCTTGTAAATTAATATATATAAATTTCTAATTAAGTATGAAAATTTAGAATAATTAAAAATAAAGAGAATAAAAATAATTATTGATAATCCTATAAGCAAAAACTAATCAATTCTTTTGACAAAGGCAAAGAATGTATTTACAGGATTACTTTACACATCATAGGATACATAGGATTAAAAAAAGCAAAGAAATAACATAGAAGGAGATTTTTTTGTATAGATAAATGGTTATGTTTATAAATTGAAAGAGGTGAGGGATTTTTTAGATAATATAAATATATGGATATAAGGTTGATTCAATATGAATGTAAATAGGTGAGATAATTATTCAGAATGTTATTTACAGAGAAGATTAATGTGGAAGTATTTAGATTACCAAAAATAAGGAGTATTAAAAATTGGAAGAGTTAATTTCATTTTTGAAAAGATCATATTATGGTTTATACTACAAGAAAGATTAAATTTATATATTTTCATTTTAGGGAAATGTATACAAATAAAAAGTATGCAGTATGAAATTTTAGTAGATGAAAAATAAATAGAATTTCGTGTTAGATAAGGAGTAAATTATTTGAAGATGAAGAATGTATCAGAATAAACTGTTCGCATATTTAGAGAAGATTTTTTTCATTTTAATACATTGGGAGTAGGAGATTAAGATAAAAAGCAAATATATTTAGAAGAGAATTTTTATCAGAAAGATTTCCATAAGATTTCTTGAGAAATATGGATAAAGATAATAAAGGAGATTAAAGTGATTTACGTATAATAGTATTTGATGAAATAGATGCAATATGTGAATAAAGAGGATCAATAAATTCTGGAACAGATTCTTACTAGAATTTTTTTAATATACTTTATTATATATTATAAAATCATTCAATAAAATCTTTGACAAATAAATTTGGACTCTATTTTCTTTTCATATCATGTTATATTTATAATAATTTTATAAGATTAGGATCCATTAAAGATATAAGTTTATTTGTTATTGGATCATCCAAATTCTCTAGTAATTAATCTAAAACTTATTATGCTTCTAGCGATTTCTATTTTAACCCTTTTTCAGGTTTTAACAAAGAAGAGTATTATTAGTTCTCTCCCTATTATTAACTCATTGGATCTAGATTAATTAATGGTTTAGGAAGAAAGTCAAATAAATGTACTTACTCTTTTGAAAGTAATATCATTTTTAATTTATCTATTTCTTACAACTTATCTATAATAAAAAGTATATCTAGGCATTTATTTAGTTTCTATTCTGAATAATTTAATTACTTGTACTTTCCTTCTTTCTTTCTTTTATAAATTTAATATATTATTACCCACACTTCAAATATTTCAAATAATCAAATTGGTTAAATTGCAATTTTTATATTGTTACACTAAAGAATTTTCGAAAAGCAGCATTTATCCTTTTTTAAAGTATCTTATCATTTTCAGGTGAATTAGTAAAGTTTTAGGAAGACTTTTCAGTTTAAGCAGAATTAATCATATCTGTTTTTGAAGTTTTAATCTTAACTCTGCCTCTTGGAAATCTTGAACTTGTTTTTTATTTTAAAGAGTTTAGTTTAATAGAAACATCATTCTCATTTGTATAAATATTTTCTTAAAATTGATTTTATTTATCAAACATTTTATTTTCATTTTCGTCTGAATCTATTTATTTTTAACCTTCAAAATTAAATAGTGTATTAATAATTTCCATCTTAAATAACATTTACGAAAATGGTCGCACTATGATTGAAAAAGCAAGCATCAATAGTTCCCATAAACCTCCTGCCTATGCAAAGATATCTTATAACTTAGGATAAATTCTATAACTTATATTTTCAGTATTTGATAATCTAATTTATACAGTGGCTAAAGATTCATCACTATTAAAATCAATTATCTCTTAATTTTTTTAATACCTTATAGTAGAATCTTTTCTAACTAATTCATCTAATAATCCTTCTTCAGTCAATGTAGTAATTGGTTACATAAATATTGTAATATCTTTCATCACTTAACTTGAGATTGTTGTTTAAATTTCCTCAACCTTAGCAACATTTGGCTATTCATAATTCCTTAAATCAATATTGTAAGACGATATTTAAAATTATATGTAATTCCTTCTTAATTTTTCTTAAATCTCCACTTTTGATTTACATTTCACACTTTCACCTAAATTTATAATAAAAACTACTATTGTTTGTATCATTAACACATAATTAGAAATTTATGTATATATATGTATAATTCTCTTAATCAGGTGTGCCACTCAAACTTAACTCTGAAATTTTATCCCAATCTACACAATAAGTGTTATTAAAATCTACATTATTCAATTGTTCTTCTATCTCTTAATAAGTTATTCCAATTTTAGAACATTTCGTAAGGGGAATCTCTGTTTTTATTAAACTTGAAATTGTTTCATTATTAACTCTTCTAATTTTATTTTTATTTTACTTTCTTTAAACTCTATTAATCAGAGCAGCATTGACTTTGTAAACTGATTCATCTATATAGTTTGTCTAATTATAGTTCTAAAAGGCAAATTATAAAGTGAAATTATCTTAAACTAATGGATAATTTGAAATCTCTTCGTAATAAATCTCTGAATAGAGAGTTTGAAATTCTTTTCTCTTTCCTAATTAAACAAATTTGTTAACGATATATGTTATTATACATCCAATTAATAATAATGTCATCAATGCTCCAAAAAAAGTATGATGTGAACGTTATCTTTAAATCATTAATTCAACAGGTGATGCAAATATATCTATTTTTTTTATTAAATGCTGGATTTGCCATATTTTATTTTTTTTCATCAGGAAATTTTAAATTTATATTATCTATCGTATACAATATTTTGATTCGTTTTATTTTAATTCTTAACTTAATTCACATTAATCTTATTATCATTCAAAAATTCTTAAAAGTTAACAATGAAACTATTTTTATTTTATCGACTTAATAAAATATTCAAATTATATTGATTGTTGTCCAAGTTTTAGAAATTAAAGTATATAATTGTAATAATAATTTTTTATTGAATTCTAATTAACATCTTTCATAAGGTAAGTTAAGAAATTTGATACTAAGATGTAACGTAGACAATATATGCCAGTTTAAATTAATTTTTAAATAGAAAATAGTTTTTTTATTTTTAATAAATTTAAATTTAATGATAAACAATAGAATAAATGTTCGTTTTATAAAATTAATTTTAATAAGTAAAATATTATAATTAAATTGGAATAGGATAATATTATTAATAGATTACCATTCTTGTGAAGCCGAAATAATTGAATTTAATTGCAATATTCTTTTCTATTTAGTTATAATATAAATTAATTGGTTCATAATTATTAATAAATTATCATTGTTTAACTTTTTTCACAGACTCTGAGCCATCTTAAATTTCCTCTTCTTCATTTTTCATTATTTTTTTTTATGAATCCTATTAAATTTTAGGTTTATCGACATAACTATTTTTGACCGGAGAACGACCCATTGAATTATTTTCCTTCTCTTTATCGAGAACTTTGACTAAAGAAATAACTCTATTTTTTAATTCATTTTCACTTTTGCATTTGAATGCATGATCAAATCTGAACATAGGTTCTTTTCTAATAGATTGTTTGAGTAAGGTCCAATTTCCATAACCAACTTCATTTGTCATGTAAATAAGATATTTATCATTTTCTAGACTAAAGTATTTACTTTTAAATTTATTATATAATTATGGTGTGAAAACAAGTTCGTATTTAGGTTAATGAAAATGTTTGCATTTTTCTTCAATTAATTTTTAGCCATTAGTTTTTTATTCAATTAATTTTTATCCTCTTTCAATTTATTTAACAATTTTATCTTTTTCACTTAGACCATCAATTCTTTCCCAAAAAGCTTAAGAATAAGCTTTAACTTCATCAATAGTTTTAGTTTTAATAAATTCTTAAATTTTGTCAAATGCTTCTTTGCCATACTTTTCATTAGCAGTTATAAAATCAGAAAACTCTTATTTATTCCAATTTTTAAATCCAGTTTCAAGTAATTATTTTTATTCTTACCTTTCTTCTTAAGTAAGTCCTCCTAAATCAATATTTTCTTCATTATCATTGCCTTTTTTTTAAGTTTTTTATTAAGCTATATAATCTTCTTCTTTTTATAATAAATATTATAATCTATCTTTATTTTCATATAAATGATGTTCTTATAATTTGATTTATTTTCCTTATATTTTTTTAGAATTGCCTCCAAGCATCATAGCTCTTTTATCTCTATTTCTAGTTTTATTTTCTTAGAAAAGTTGATTAGCTAAAGCATCTTCAAGAGCATCTTCATCAATTTTATTTTATTTTTCTTCATTAAAATAATCAAAAATATTAATTTATCCTAATCCAAGATCAAGTGATTACATTTTATCTTTGAAATTTTCAAATTTCTTTTCAATTCTTTCATTCATTTATTGAGTCAACTATTCACCTCTTTTAAGTAGTATATCAATATCTTCATCTTTAATATCTTCTCCATCTAATTTAAAAATTTAAGAAGCTCCATGAGTAGTTAACTCTTTTAAATCTTCTTTTGATAATAATTTTCCACTTTATTTTTAAGATAAACGACCTTATTAAATCATTAGAGAATCCCATCTTAATTTAATTTATTATCTTTCAATAATTTTTTCTTCAATAGTATGCTCGCAAGCCATTCTGTAAACCATAACTCTATTTTTTTATCCAATTCTATGTGCTCTATCCATAGCTTACATATCCATTTAAGGATTGAAATCAGAATCATAAATAATAACTGTGTCTGCAGTTGCTAAATTAATTCCAAGGCCACCAGCTCTAGTAGAAAGAAGGAAAATAAACTTTTTACTATCAGGTTAAGTGAATTCAGCAATCTAATCATCTCTTTATTAAATTTCAGTTTCTCCATCAATTCTACAATAATCATATTTTCTATAATTACAATAATCTTCAAGAATATTGAGCATCATTGTAAATTATGAGAATATTAAAATTTAATGAGTACCATCACTTAATTTCTTCAGAAATTTATCAAGTACTCTCATTTTACCCGCAGCTTCTATTAAATGTTCTCCAAGTGGTGGTAATTATTTATCTTCTACTTCAGGAAATAAATAAGGATGAAGACATATTTTACGAAGTTACATTAATTTATTCATATAAAATCCTTTATCATCTCCTTCATGAGGATTATTATGTAAAAGAATATTTTAATACATTTATTTTTAAAGATTTGTCATTTTTATAAAAAGATGGATTTCTTATTTAGGTGGTAATATTCTTTCTACTTCTGCTTTAGTTCTTCTTAACATAAAAGGTCTTAAAATCTTTTAGAATTTTTAAACCATTTCAAGATTTCTTTAATCTAATTCTTCTTATTTAATAGTTTCATTTCCTTCTTTTAATTTAGCTTCAGTATTAACTTCAAACCATTTATCAAAGACTTCAGAAGAATCAAATAAATCTGGTAAAAGATAATTCAATAAACTCCATAATTCATGCGGAGTATTTTATAATGGAGTACCTGTTAATAACAATTTATAATTAGTTTTTATTTTACGAAGATTTTAACTAATGATTGCATCCTCATTTTTTATTTTATGAGCTTCATCAATAATGATATATTTATATTAGAATCTTCGAATATGTTTCAAACAAATATTTACACCTTCATAACTTGTTAAACAAACATCAAATTTTCCAGGTTAAAAAAATTTATTAATTATTTCCTCTCTTTCTTCTTTTACAGCAATTAATTTAACTACTCTTGTACATGGTAACCATTTTTTAAATTCTCTCATCCAATTACCTAAAGTTGATTTAGGAGCCACAATTAAATGTGGTCCACTAAATTTTTTATATTCTTTTAGAAATGCTATAAATCCTATTGTTTAAATAGTTTTGCCTAAACCCATTTCATCTGCTAAAATACCATTGATTCCTTCCTCAAATAATGAAATCATCCAATTTACACCTGTCATTTAATATTATTTCAATTATCCTCCTCTTAAAATTGTAGGTTATTTATCTAGTACAGTTGGTGCATCATCAAGATCTTCTTCTTCACTTGATTCATTTATCACTTATCTATGTTTACCTCTTTATTATGTTAGAGCCTTTTATTTATATTCCTATGTTCTTTTATGACGATGTAATAGAAACATAGCATACTTCTCTGCATTTTCAAGCAAAGTATTTATTTTTGATTCTATATTGTCAAATTTGATCTATGAATAATCATTAATATAATTTTATACATTTGTATTCAATTTACTTGTTGACTTTATAGAACTCATAAATGTTTTCTTGTCTTATTCTAATTTCTTTATTCTTTCTTCTTCCTCTTTTATTTTTTAATCATCATCGCTTCCAATCTCAACCTACATTACTTCATCTTCATTTTCACTTGAAATACTCATTTAATTAAATTATGATTTTAAGAGGCATCAATTAACCATTTAATCATCAAATTATTTAATCCTCAATTTAATGAAAAAATATAAAAAACTACTTAAACCCTTCCGATCTCTAGATCTCTTCACCAAACCTGTATCTCTACTAATCAAAGATAGAGAGCGTCACAAAACTTATTGTGGGGCATTCCTCACCATTATTATTATATCTATGATGAGTGTCCTCTTATTCACGAATTTCAATAATTTAGATAAGAATCCTCATTCCTATCAATATCAGATATACCATCAAGCATTAAACTGTACCCAATTAATTAATTTTACTATACAAATAACTGGATTAGATGAACAAGACTTAGATGTAAACACTTCAGATGGCCAACTTTAAATGAGTTAGAATCTCTATTAATATGCTTAATAAGTAAGTTTATATGAAACAGAACAAAGAGTTTAGTTTGTTATTGTAGAGATCTATCTCAAGAATGATAGTCAACTATAAAAAACAGTGAAAAGTCTTGATTTCTAGTTTTAAATACCAACTTTTTATTATGATTTATAAGATGTTTAAGATCCTGTAAAAATGAGAATTGAGAAAATTGATACAACTTTAAGTCCAAGTGTTTAAAAAAGAATTGATATCTACATGAGTCCACTTACTGTTATTTCAGATAATGGTATGGTATTGAAAGATGAGACAAAACAAAGTTTGTTAGCATATCACCATCATTAAGAAATGTATGAGGTTGGGAATGCTTTAAAATTACTTCATATGAGAATACGTTTGAATAAAACAGAGTTTGTTTAATACCGATCGTATCCAAAATTATAATAGATTCTTGGAGAAGCTGGTGGATTATGGAATGTCATTTTCACATTAGCAATGTTCTTATAACTGCCATTTAGCAATTTATCTTATCGATTGTAAATAATCAATTCTCTATTTAATTTTTCAAACGATGATGATTCAACGGCTAATAATGATAATAATAATAAGATAAAGGTTGATAATGAAAAATTAATTGAGAAAGCTGTAAGTCCATAATAGATTGACAAGAAAATTCCATTGTGTTAAAGTGAAGTAAATCTTCCAATAGTTCCTGTATTGAAGAAATAAAAAAGTTGGAGTTAATTAAATTAATTGAATATTAAGAAAAGATTGTATAGTATATAAAGAAAGAGTCAGATGATAACAGAGGCTGATAGTGAGAATCAGAAGGCTCATATAACAAATGAGATTTCAGCATCAATTAAAAGATTTTTTAGAGTTGTTACCCAAAAGCTTAATTTGAATCTTTTGGAATATATAACATTTTAATTTCCAAGAAGGAAGAATAATAACAATATAAAATATTAGTAATTTGAATTTGCAGTTAATCGAATCTAAAAATCACTGGACATTCTATACATTATAAATAAATTACATGAAATTGATAAATTAAAATTTATCCTTTTGAATAAAGCATAGATCAAGATGTTTGATTATTTACCTAAACCATTTATAGGAGCAGATCCGTAAGATATTTCAGATGATAACTTTTGTTCACTTTTGAAACCAGCAAAGACTCCTTATCAAAAGGCATTAGAGGCTTAGCAAGCGTTTAAAGAAATTATTACTAACTATTAAGATCCAATAAATTAGAAATTAATAAATAGTATGGATGAACCTATCATAGATTTAATGAAATTATAGTTGAATTAGGATATTTAAATATTAGACACATCAGTGATTAATTAATTAGTTTAGAGTGCTGAATATAAATTAGATACAGCAAGACAATGACCATATAGAGTGAATATATATTTAAATCTATCAATTTTGATTTCCTAAATTAATTTCTACTTCTGAGTATTTCTAATTCATTTTAGCAGTAACGAATTTCTCATAAAGTGCAATTGTAATCCCTACAACAATGTTTACAATTAGAATTTATATTTTGAAATCCGTTGGAAATTCTACTTCCAAATCTAAAAATTCAATTAAATTTGGGAAGAATATTAATATAATCTATCCCAAAATACCCAAAGATATGGATAAAATATAATAAATATTCTAATAGATAGCTTCTCTGAAAGGGGGTCCCTAAGTATATGCAATAGCTACAGCCAAGATTTCAGTGCTAGATGTTATAAGCAGAATAGAGTTAATGTAATTTGGTTGTATGTAATAATCATCATTTACCAGATCAATTGTGATTGATTAATAAAAATCTTATTGTTTCAATAATTAGTGCATAATTATTTAAGCTAAAAAACTAATGAAAACTATAACACAAACAGAAGATAAAACAGGTAATGAAATCAAATTACTTATAGGTCTATAATTTGCTAATTTATTATATGATTTTGTTAAATCCATTGTGAAAGCTAATGGAATAATCAACCAAAGATCTTAATAAAGATATTAGACTTAAGTGAAATCTGTATCATAAAAATAACATTGTAAAACAGAAACCGATTAGATACATGAATAAAGAGTCATAAATTTAAAGCATTCTACACAAGTTACTAAACAAGCTCTCCCTTCTTTTATTAGATTAATAATAGTTGATATATTGAATATTGTACTTGTGAATGGAGAAGCCAAAGAAGCATCTTCTAATGATAATGCCAAACCAACATCTGCTTATCTCAAAGCACAAGTATCATTAGTTCCATCTCCACAAAATGCAATAAAATTCATTTTATCTTATCTTAAGAGGAGCATTAAATCTCCTTTGTTATTAGGTTTCATTCTTGAATAAATGTATATTCTTTATAATAGATTTAGTATCAATTACTAATTGTCTATTAATGCATTATATTAATATTATAAATGTTCAAATACCTATCCTGTTATTGCTAATTAAAAGTTACAAGTTAATTTCATAATTTCATTTGTTTCTAAATTTTAAACCTAAGTAGAATCTAAACTATAACAACTTCTATTTTTATCTACTTTATTCAATTTTAATTGTTTTAGTTCATTCCAATATAATATATCATTATTCAAAAATCCTAAAAATATTCTGCTATTTTGATCCAATATGTTACATTATAATCCTATGTTAATTGCTGTGTATGGATTATCCCCTGTAACCATAATTGATTTAATATTACTCTACTTTAAACTTATGATTGTTGATTGAGTTTCTTTCTTTAATTTATTCTCAAAAATTAAGAATCCTAAGAATATCATATTTTATTCATATATTTCTCTCTTATGCAATGATTACAAATTTAAATGATTAATATCTCTATAACAACAAGCAATGATTCTGAATCCTTAAGAACTATACCTATAAAGAAGATTGTTATAGTTTGAAGGTATATTGATACAGATATTCTATATTTATTCAGGTGATCCTTTACAATATAAAATATTCTCATTAGTTATTACTGACATTCTTTACAATTCAGCTTAGAAATCATATCTCTTTATAACTACAATTTCTTTCATTCCTTTTTTTGCTTTACTCTCTTCTAATAATTCCCATCCTGTTTCTTAAAACATACATAGATCAATAGGATCTCCCATTATTTCTTTATTTATTATTGATAATGAATGACAAACAGCCATACATTCATTAAATTAATTAGATACTTCTTTTACCATTTATAATCTATTAAAACCTTAATCTTTAACTTCTCTACAACCTAATACATCAAGTCCTAATTCTGTTAAAGTACCTGTTTTATCAAAAGCTATTAAATTTACTTTACTTGCTACATTTATTTTATCTGGCTTTACACATTAAATAGATTTATCTTCTAAACGCTTCAATGCAAGACTTATACCAGCTCCTAAAGCAGTTGGTAATGTTGCAGGCACTATTATTGTTATTATTTCTAAAGCATTTATTATACTTTCTCCTAAAGCAATACCTTAAGCTCCACTTATTAAAATTGTAATATTAGCTTATATTAAACCTAATGTAGCTAATACAAATAAATATCTTAATGAATCTCTATAAAAACTAAATGTTTAGGTTCTATTAAACATTATTGATCTAGCCAAACTACCTTTTAATGTTTGAAATCCAGTCTAATAAACTATTGCCTTAGCATTTTCACCATTTTAAGAATAACTTCTTAAGCAAGTAGTTCCACAGAATAACATTTTATTTTCATTTCCCTTTTATTAAAAAAAAATTTCACTTTTTTCTAAACTGGATTTATTAATTGGTACACTTTCACCTGTTAAGACAGCTTCATTCATTACACAATTTCCTTCAATTAAAATACAATCACAACTAATTTTAGTATGTCCTTCAATTATTAATAAGTCTCCTGGAATTAATTCTTTTGATTGTATAGTTATTTGATTATTATTTCTAATTACTTTAACATCTACATTGAATCTAATCATTTTTTATATTTTAAATAAATTTTTTCTTACATCTCTTAATTCAATAGAAATCTAAATGATAGTGATTACTAAAATAAAAAGAGAGTAATTTAAATAATCATCATATGCCCACAAAGCTAAAGCACTAAATTAAAAGATATTAAAAGGTGTTAATATTTCATCAAGTAAAAGTAGAGGAATTGGTTTGATTGGTACTTCCATTATATTCTCTCCATAAACAGTTGTTAAATTAGTAAGACCTGTCATATTACAAATTTTATCTTAAGTGTATTCAGAAAATGAATTTCTCATTTAAATCAATGATTTTGTATAAGAATCTATATAATATTAACTAAGTTCATAACTAAAAACTCGTGCATTTTTAGAAAATGGATGATCCTAAACAATCGAAACCTTACATAGTTAATCATCTGCAATTGGAATTATATTTTTGGTCTTAATCACTAAAACATGTGTCATTGTACCAAATTAACATTTTTCAAATCTTTTTACATGATTTAAGCTTACAATAGAAACAATCTTAAATTGATGAACCATCTTTGAAATAAGTACAATAATCCAAGAGTTAAAATTATTAAAACATAATAAATGATCTATTTGTACTTATTGATCTTATAATAAATTGCAGTAAGTTTATATTGGTCTTCATAATCGCCTAGATATTCTAAAGTTGATTATCTAAAGTATAAGAAGTTATTATTACCCAAAATCGATTTCTTCTTTTAGATTGGTCTCTAATAATTCAATCATAATTATTAAATAAAAAAGTTTATTTTGTTCTTTTATTAGAATTTGGAAATGATGGAAAAGAACTTAAAATAATAAAATTAAGATAAAGAAACAATAAATGTTAATATACAACTACAATAATATATATAAAGTGTTAGAGTGTCGATTATATGATATTCCTTATTATTTAATAATAATATCTTTTCAAGAGTCTTGATCGTCCTTTGGAAATCCTTTCCATTTAAAATTGTCAGCATACTTTCTCTTTGAAGAATAACGAAAGTGTGGATATTGAACAATATATCCATATCCATCTTATTGACAAAATTCTAATGCAGCTTCCAAACTTTTGAACTTATAAACATCTCTGCTCTTTTAATCTCTTGAAAAAGTCCATCCACTCCAAGGCATTCTATGAATTGGTCCTCTCTCAAATTAAACATTCCATTCATATCCTTATTTCATAGTTGGATCTATGTTAATTTATAAAACTATTTACTTTAATGCATACGATTATCATCCATAATATAAACACGAGCTATTTTTGACTCTGGAGCAGGTAATGGGTTCATATCATAGTATCTATGATCGGATCTATTATCAAGACGAGAGGCTTAAAACTAATATTTTGCATATTTTACATCTAAAGAATCCAAATTTGCTTTTGCTTGCATCTACAGGTACAACTTAATTGTAAACTGATATTCCATGTTACAAAACTTCTTAGTTTTTACTCTCTATCTCTTTACGAATCACTATCAGAGAATTAAATGCCTTTTTGGCAATCTCTTGAATCCCTACAAATTGTCGAATTGACATTTATATATTAAAATAATAATTTAAGTCATCCCAATCGATATTTACTTATACTTTCTATTGTATCAGTATGCATTCTATGTCCTTTCTTTTACGAAGACTTCTAAATCATCACTTACGAACATTGCAGTTTATTTTATTTCTATCTAAAATTACGTACTTAATTCATTAGAAAGAATCTTTATGAATTAAGTTTTGTTTTTGTTGCTGTCATCTAATCAACTTTTAGTGGAGAAAGAGTGTTTAATTTATTCTCCTTTGATTTTCCTTTTTAAATAACAATTTAAGATAAAATTCTACGATGAATACGTCTTTATTGACTGTTGAGATCATATACATCTCCTTATAAGGAACTATATGATCTATCTGGTGAATATTCAAATTAATCAGCCCCTCTAGGAAAATTATATTCTTATGGACGTTTGCTTTCAACTGTTTATGTAAGCTTCTTGAGTCTCAGTCCCATATAAATTAATACTGTTTTCGCAATTTTATTATTATGACAAATCAATAAATAAATTTTTAATTTTCGAACTAAATCGAAGAACTTTAAGAAGCTTATTAAAGATCAAAAAAGAATTAATATTTCAATAATAAGAATAAAATCAGATGACGGAATATATACATAGATTAGTTGCTCAATTAAAAAATATGGATAAAGCACACAAAAGACAATAATTAATTGAATAAATTAATTAAAAATTACTTATTATAATCTTGTTATATAAAATTGCTTCTATTGTTCATAATGATTAAATGTGTGATAATTAAAAATATTGAAAGGCTTTTAAAAAAGGATTTTCTTAAAATTAGGCATTAAGAAGAAAGGAATTAAAAATTAAAAACAAAAAGTTAGAGAATTAATTAAGATCTTTTAAAGAGTAAATGATAAAGAAAAAATAATAAGTGATAATAATCTGAAGATATTGAAAATATCAGTATATTCTTTGTAGATTTTTTTTAAAAATTCATATTACTAAATTAGCGAATGATAGATTTAATTATTTAAGGATAGAAAATAATTAACAAAGTTAAAGAAACTAAATTAGAAATCATTAAGGAGTTCAAAGAGTATTAGAAAATAAATCTACTGAATTAGGAAAAGCAATAAAAAAGAATTGATTATAGGAATAATATAGAGAGCAAGATCGTTTAAGTAAGTTGATGATATTGTTCTGATTTTAAGATCAATAAAATATCTAAATTAAATTAAAGCAATAATAAATATCTGATGATTCTCAAGCCTTGGAACAAGCTCTGAATAGTATAAGCAAGTTTTAATTCTTGTATGCTTTCAGATGTAAGCTCAAATACACATAAATTAATAAAATAAGAAGATTTCTATTAATTTAGAAAATAAATTAATAAGATTATGAAGTTTATTCAAATATTGNCTTAATTCATTAGAAAGAATCTTTATGAATTAAGTTTTGTTTTTGTTGCTGTCATCTAATCAACTTTTAGTGGAGAAAGAGTGTTTAATTTATTCTCCTTTGATTTTCCTTTTTAAATAACAATTTAAGATAAAATTCTACGATGAATACGTCTTTATTGACTGTTGAGATCATATACATCTCCTTATAAGGAACTATATGATCTATCTGGTGAATATTCAAATTAATCAGCCCCTCTAGGAAAATTATATTCTTATGGACGTTTGCTTTCAACTGTTTATGTAAGCTTCTTGAGTCTCAGTCCCATATAAATTAATACTGTTTTCGCAATTTTATTATTATGACAAATCAATAAATAAATTTTTAATTTTCGAACTAAATCGAAGAACTTTAAGAAGCTTATTAAAGATCAAAAAAGAATTAATATTTCAATAATAAGAATAAAATCAGATGACGGAATATATACATAGATTAGTTGCTCAATTAAAAAATATGGATAAAGCACACAAAAGACAATAATTAATTGAATAAATTAATTAAAAATTACTTATTATAATCTTGTTATATAAAATTGCTTCTATTGTTCATAATGATTAAATGTGTGATAATTAAAAATATTGAAAGGCTTTTAAAAAAGGATTTTCTTAAAATTAGGCATTAAGAAGAAAGGAATTAAAAATTAAAAACAAAAAGTTAGAGAATTAATTAAGATCTTTTAAAGAGTAAATGATAAAGAAAAAATAATAAGTGATAATAATCTGAAGATATTGAAAATATCAGTATATTCTTTGTAGATTTTTTTTAAAAATTCATATTACTAAATTAGCGAATGATAGATTTAATTATTTAAGGATAGAAAATAATTAACAAAGTTAAAGAAACTAAATTAGAAATCATTAAGGAGTTCAAAGAGTATTAGAAAATAAATCTACTGAATTAGGAAAAGCAATAAAAAAGAATTGATTATAGGAATAATATAGAGAGCAAGATCGTTTAAGTAAGTTGATGATATTGTTCTGATTTTAAGATCAATAAAATATCTAAATTAAATTAAAGCAATAATAAATATCTGATGATTCTCAAGCCTTGGAACAAGCTCTGAATAGTATAAGCAAGTTTTAATTCTTGTATGCTTTCAGATGTAAGCTCAAATACACATAAATTAATAAAATAAGAAGATTTCTATTAATTTAGAAAATAAATTAATAAGATTATGAAGTTTATTCAAATATTGTAGAATAAAATATAGCTAATAAAAGATCTTGAATAATATAACATAATTATCAATATATGTAATAACGTTGCACTGAATCGTAAAAGGCTTTTGTATTATTTTAACATTGTTAATATATTTTTTCAGCAGTAGTTGTTTTAAGCAATTCTGCAAATCCTGAAATACCACTTTCATAGTCAATCATTAAATTGAATTTTATAGGAATCACTTTATAAATTTCATCTAATGTGACAAAGGCTGTTAATACAGGATTAAATGAATTTTTATCTAAAACATGTATTTAAACTCCTCCACAAATTACATCTTTATGTTTAGAAAATGTTGGTGAAAAATAAACAGGTCTAAATATTACTGAAGTTAATTTTCTGGCATTCAATGTTTTTGCTAATTCTTCTGGTTGCGTAATTAATGGAGAACCAATAATTTCGAATGGATGTCTAACTATTTATTAAATATACGTAGTGCCTCTTCCTTCACTTAAATCAGTTCCTTCAAAAATTCCAAAACCAGGGTAAACAGTAGCTGTTTCAATGGTTGGCATATTAGGAGATGGTAGAATCTCTTTTATTATAATTTAATACCCATTGATATTGATTTGTAAGGTAAGGTATAATTTTTAAATTAACAGGATTTGAAAGCCATTCCTTATTGATAAATGTTGCTAATTCTCCAACTGTTAATCCATATCTTTAAGGTAATCCTAAATTTGATCCAAACTTGCGTCCAACTAATCCTGCATCCATTTCATTTCTACATCCTTCTATCTTTCTTCCTAAAGGATTTGGAACATCTACAACAATAAATTGAATTCCTGCTTTTTGGGCTGCTTCCATACAATACGTCATCGTCCAAATGTATGTATAAAATCTAGTTCCTACATCTCGAATATAATAAACTAAAACATCAATATCATTCAAATCCTCTAATGTTGGTGCTCTTTTGCTACCATACAAGGAAATTACCTATCTATTTAATTATTATTATATTTTACATTCCAGTAACTGGGTCAATATAATCTTTTATTTACACTCCTGCCTATTATTCTCCTCTCAATCCATGCTCAGGTGAGAAAAACTTCTTGATGTCTGAGTATTTTGATATTTTATCAGTAACCATTACCAAATCATCATCAACTCCTGTTGGATTTGTTATTAATCCCAAGCTTTTTCCTTTTGTTTCCATCAAAAGATTATTAAGTTATAATGAAATGAAGCTATATCCTAAAAGTGGTAATAAAAATATAAACATTTAATATTAATCAAATAAATATTCGATCAATTTAATAAATGATAATTTAAAGCTACTTTTATTATAATGAACATTAATTATGAAAAAAATAAGAATGTTATTTCAAACAAACCATATTATTTACTATATATATGGCATATTCTTCTGTTATTTATTATAGTAATGTGAAGAGAATTAATTATTGAAATGAATGAATGAATGTAATCTTATTTGAAATCTATTTATCTGCAACTTCGATACTTAAGAGCAAAATCAAACAAAAATTCTTTATAATAATTTTTTTTGGACAAGAAATTAATAATAAGAACATTGGTTTAATTTTTTTTTGGATTCAATCTGCAATTATTAATTTTATATGAATTATATTTTAATATATATTTTCTTATTGAATTATTAATAATAATAGCATGATATCTCTATGGAATGATTTAGAGACTAATAATTACTACTTAATAAATAATGAAACTGGAGAAAAATAAAAAGTATACAAAACTGCAGATTATATCAAAGAATTTGATGCTTCTTTGACAGGATCTGTTGGTTATATGGATAGAATTAAACTAGCAAAAAAACCAAGTTATATGCCTTTAAAAGCTAGATCTCTTTAAAAAAAATTTGTGTGTTACACTCCTTCAATTAATAAATTAGTTTGGTATTCTCAACTGCCTCGACCTACTAAATTACCTAATTTAGAACATTTTAAAACTGAAAAGAAATAAAAATCAATGCATAAGTCACAAGAATAGAAACCCTTATTACAATCTTAAAGCTATTAAACTTTACCACATATACAATAATCTACAGTTGCATCTTAATATTAAAGTTTACTAGATCCTTAGCAAGTAAGATCAATTTCAACTATTTAACATTATGATCTTAATGATTAAGATCATTTTAAAGAAATGAGTCATTTATTTGAGTCAAAATCTTATGACTATAAAAGTTATAATCTCCCTCCTAAAGATAATTTAAATTGCAGATCAATTAAAGATTTTGAGTAGGTTTTGAAGCAAGAAAAATAATAGTTAGAAATGTTTAAAGTAGATTTTATTCATTAATAAAGTTACCTGAATAAAAACCATAATTAGTCAATACAAAAGGAAGATTTCCAGGATAGCTGAAAACAGCAAAAGATTTCATGTATGAAGATAAATCTATTGCAAAAATATGTTAGACCAAATATAATATTTTTAGTGTATCCTGATCTTTTTAAGGAGAAAATAATCGATTAAAAGTAAGAAGAATTAAGGAGAAAAATTAATAAATTAAAGGAATAAGAAATGCTCTAAAGAAATCTCAAAAATAAGACATGAAAAATATATTATCCAATTTTAAATTATGAATTAATACTCTCTATTTTTAAATTTATAAATTTTAATATAGATTCCTTTTTTTATAAGGTTATGAATATAATAATCAAAATATATATATAATTTATTATGTATTTTATCTTTTCAAAAATTGTGAATATTTAATCTCGATAATTTTCATAGCTAAATAATTCTATTAATTAATTAATATTTTATTGTACCTAAAATAGAAATTTAAATTGATAAGGATTTAATTGTTTCAATTAATTGATTAATATGAACTTTGATTAATATGAACTTTGATTAATATGAACTTAAAATTATATTGATTAATCATTTTTCATTTAATTTTATCTGATATTAGATTAGATTATTCCTATTTTTGTATCAAAAGAGATCAAGTTAATATTTCCATGGAACGTAAAGTTCTATTATTTAGAATAGAAACAATTATTTGGATATTATTTTTGATATTATTTGTGGTTATTTTAAACTTTTGTTAACAATAATAGGATGTCATTTAATTTATTTTAATAAAATAGGGTTTGAAAAAAAGTTGAAATATTTATAATATTATTTTAAGAAAAACAATAGAAAATTAAAATCTAGAAGGTAAAGAATATAAGTTATAAGAATAGATTTGTGAATATCAAATATTATTAGAATTAAACCATAAAATTAATAAAAAAAAATGTAATTCGTTTTAATAGTTTTATTTACAGCATCATTTGCAAGAAATGAATGTGAGGTTGATAATAATGATAGAGTAAAAATAAGTGGAATTTCAAAATAAAAAGAGGATGAATTATTAGAATTACATAATGAACATAGAAATTAGGTTGCTCTTGGAAAAGTTAAAAATTGGTAAAATTAATTTTCTACTGCTGCTAATATGAATTTTCTCAAATGGGATAATCATCTAGCAAGGAATGCTTAAGATTGTGCTGATAGATGCCCTACTAATTTTCAACTTGATTGTTCTTTTCCTCTTCATTATGGTTATTTGGCATTTAAAGGAGAATTTAATGAATAATAACAAGATTTGAGTCCTTTAAAAATATTTAGAAAAATAGTTTCATATCAAGATTTTGCAAGATAAATTGAATTGGCGATAGTTTTAAATTTTGGATGTGGAAGAACGTTGATTAGCAGGAAGAATTCTAAGAGTCAAGAAATTTTTGTTTGCTTATACAATAAAGTAGTTTTTATTCATATTTAATAGAAACCACATCCAAACGGAGAAGTATATAAATATGGTATACCAGGTTAAGATTGTTTATATGGTCGTAAAATTGAATTTATAGGTTTGTGTAAATAAAGTGCTACTGATATAGAAGCATTGAAATTTCGACATTAAAGACATCAAGATGCATACAAATATCATCATAAAGAAGAGAGACATCATGTTCATCACAATCATCATCGTAAAGACGATGGATTTCATACTAGGGCTGACTGATAAATTAATAATAATTTTAATTAATATAATTTGCATGCCGAACGAATTTATTTTACAGTAAACTTCACATCCTGAAAAGAAATACAATTCTAAAACTTTGATAGGTAATTGGTATGAAGAAAGATGCGAACCAAAATCAAAATATTCAACCTTTTACTAAGAATAAAAATTTGAGAAAAACTAATATAATGTTAGCAAACTTACATAAGTATTGTTTATTATTAGTTTAGGAATCATTTATGAAGTGCTCATAAAATTGGTTAAATTTCTAAAAAAATTAAACTAATCATTTCTAAACAAACAATTAGTAAGCAAGACAGTTATACATTTTATAGATAAGAATTCAAGAATCCAAAAGATCAATACAGAACCTCTGAAATAAAGAAATTTATTATTAAAAAAGGAGTATTTGAAAAGAACCCCTAATAAATGTCTGATTATAGAAGTAAATGGACTTCAGCACCTCATTTTTTTGATAGAACTTACCTTGGGCAATAAAAATGATAATTTATAATTATTATTCAAGCAACAAATATTTAGAAATTTTATATTTGGTAGTAAATTAATAATAAACATGAATCTGTCAAAGAACTTTTATTACAGTATGATATCTTTAATCATTTAAATTTCTGAATAATTTAAATAAAATTTAAAGTAATCCTAATAGGATAACTATTAGTTTCAATTTATTTATAAAGTTATTCAAAATAATATGGATCAATATATAAGATATAGTTCTGTTAAATTTGGAAAAAATAAATTTTTTGAGTTACTTTGAAAAATGGAAGCTATTGCATATATTGAATATTAATATTTATTTAAGGAGTATTTAGTCTATTGGTATCGTTTTAAGAAAAATGTTTTGTAAAGATTAAGTTGAAAAATAAAACATAATTGACGTGTAATAATATAAATAATAAATTATTCTTAATGTATTTTCTAGATGACTCTAAAAGTAAATCATCAATTGTGATATTAGAAACACAGGAATTGGAATGGGTTTTCTCACTGTCAGTCTTTTGCTATTTATCTTAGGTGTTATGTTTTTCCTGGACAGAGCATTATTAGTGATGGGGAATTTATCATTTTTGATTGGACTTTGCTTATTAATAGGAGTTAAAAGCACATTGTCATTCTTTTTAAAGAAAGGTATTTAAAGTAAGTTTAAATCATTAGGCAAAATTAAGGGAAGCATTTTCTTTTTTTTGGGATTCTTTATCATTGTTTTTTTTAAAATATCAATCATTGGATTTCCATTATAAATTTATGGTCTTTTCCAAATGTTTAAGTCCTTCCTCCCATTCCTATATGATAGTGCAACCAAATTACCTATCATTGGAAGATATCTAAGTAAATTATTTAAATAATTTTGAAGGAAATCCTTAATTAAAAAAAATGGTTGATGAAGTGTCAGCTAAAGGTCCATCAGTATGAGATAGATAAATTTTATATTATTGTTAATTGATAATATCTAGAAATCTTCTTAATTCCAGTTTTATCTAAAATCAAAAATTATAACATTTATTTTAACTATTAGAAACTCCTAATATTGCTATGTTAATCAAAACAATTCAAGATATTTATAGATATTTTGATCTAATTTATATAAATAGCCCATCTAGAGTTTTTATATAAGTTTAAATTAATTTATTAGTATACTCATATTATAGAAATCAGTACATCAATATCAAAAAAAAGGTCAAATTATTATATACAAATATAATTTTAAGGTTTAAAGTTATAAGATAAGTTATATATTTATCATAGAAACAAATTAAATTTATTGTTGATTAATTTTGTTTTAGAAGAAACAAAATATAAGATAATTCAATCAAAAAGTTAAATCAATTCTTTAACTTTTTCTAATTGATGCTATAAATTTTCAATAGCATTCAATTAAGAGAGATATTCTAAAAGTTTGAGATCTAGACAGGTCTGACGAAAACATTGATTTTTGTTTTTATTTAATTTCGATGTTTTTGACTAACTATCCTTCTTTTTCTTGGATTCCATAGAATTCTTTTTAATTTTCTTGACTTATATTTTTGGATATGCTATTTGACTAGTTAGAGTGCAAATTTTTTAGAGTTTTTTACAAATTATATTGATCTTATTATGAGAATTTTCATTGCTTTAATCCTTTATGCTTGAATCCTAAAGAATTTCATCTTTCGATTATTTCATGTTAATCTGCATCTGGAAAGTTATAAAGTTGATATAAGAATATATGATTTGAAATAATATTAATTATGATTTTATTGGGTTTTACCCGTTTTCTAAATTTTGCTAAATAATTTTACCTAAAAAGAAATATTAAAAATGTTATATTTATTAGGGATTTGACGTAATTAAGCTAATAATTGCTGAAAGTTTGTAAATTAATGACTTATCATTTTAATTTTTGCGCTTAAAAAAAACAAAGTATGTATGTATATTTAACAAAAATGAAGATTTTTTCCAAAAAAAAAAAATTGAAAATTAAATATTATTATATAAAACATTCTACCAATAATGGACATTAAATATTTATGATAATGATAGTATGTTAATATTATATATAAAAGACCATATTAATAAAAGCATACTGATTAGTTGCTTAAAATGGTTTATGTGAAGAATTATTAAAATTAAAAAAAATTTATTTGCATTATTTGGTAAAAAGTTAGTTGTTTATTAGAAAATATTAATTTGTATTTTATAATCTTTGACAGAATGCCACTAAAACCATAAAAATTTATTAAGAAAGAATTAAAATAGGAAACAGGATAAGATAAAAGGAAAGGAAAATAAGGAAGAAGAATAATAAAAACAAGAAAAAGAGCGTTTACAAAAATTAGAAGAAGAAAGATTAGCTGCTAAAAAAAAACTAAAATTATAAGAAGAGGAAATTGAAAAGGATCTTTTGAAGACAATAATTAAAAATATTATAGAAAATACAAAAAAAGCAAAATAGAATTGATTTTATAAATTATTAGGATTAATTTTTATATCGATTAATTAAGCCAGACATTATGTAGGAAAGTTAATTGACAACATTGTATGTTTAAAAAATTAAAGCATTCGTAAGATCTTAAGATGAACTGTTACAATTATTAACAGAAAATATACTTAATTAAAATCAAAGCAAAGAGGGTTAAATTATCTATCAATTATAATCTATATTATTAATAAAAGGCTTTTTACTTCTTTATCTTTTCTAAAATTATCTCCAGGCTTTTTTTATTAATTTATTTAAATTACTAAAAAAATAAATTTTAGAGTTTGTTTATGTAAATCTTCTTCTTTTGTTAATCGATATTCAATCCATTTAATTTTCTCTGCCCTCTGCTTTTTCAGCTGATTTAATTAAATTCCAATTTTTAGTGATACAAAGTTTTTATTTCTGGTTTTTATTTCTGATTTGATTTTTCTATTTTCTTTACTAATATAGCATTTTTCTCGCCTTAAAAAATGAATTTGCTTCACTATTATTTTCAATATAATCAATGAGATTTTAATACTTTATTTCCTTTTCTAAAAGTGCTATTTTAGATATTATTTTGAATCTTTTAATTCTCTACTCCCCCCAGCTCTTTAGATCTATGCTAAAATTGAGAATGATTATTATTATTAACTAGTCTATTTAATTTTCTATCCACTTGTCCTTTTTAGAATCCTAAATTATTATATATTTATAATAGTATTCTTCTAATCAACATTTAAATCTTGTATTTAATTCTATTTAATTTCTAATTCTTTTTATTTTAATTTAAATTCTAAATCCAAAATCTTTTTCTTCAATGTCATAAATTCTTACTGATCTATTATAGTTCAAGATCTAAGTAAGGAATTCTAAAGGGTGAATATACTTCAGTATAATTCATTATCAATTTATTTAATTATTCTCTATTAAAATAATATTACTAATTCAAAAACACAAAATACAAAATTCACCCATTTGTAGCTGTATGAATTCTTTACTTTTTAATTTTTCCTCCTTTTAATTTCTTAAAACCATATCTCTCTCTATATATAAAATATTGTAGATTACAGCATTTTACTCCAATTATTATCAAGAGCATCAGGTTGTACTAACTTTTTTATTTCGTTATTGCTATCAATTACCCTTTAATAATCTAAAATCATATATGAATTAAATATACTTAATTTCCCATATTTTTATTATTGATATAATAAGTACTCAATCTCTCTGTCTATTTTTTATTCATCATAAGGTTCGTCTTTTTGAAGTTTCTTCACTATAAAGCTATTTCAAATACCATGTTCTCTTTCTTTTAGATTTCAATTTAAGCAAAAATACTTCTTTAATAAGCCTTATCTCTACTGATGGTTCTCTAGAAATCAGGTGTATTATCATTCCTTTTAAGAAATTAAAAATCATAAAAGTCCCTGTAACAAATAGGAGATGGTGGCTTTGTCATTTATGGACTTTTATTAAATTCAATTGATTGACCTGGTTCAGTAATTAATAATTAATCTGAATATACTCCTGGTCCAGGTGTTCTAGTCTATCATATTTAAATATTTATATTATATACATCTCTATAAAAATGTTCTCGTCTTGGAGTTAAGAAGGCTCTGCTTAATTAAGTTTTTGGAACATATTATTTTTTATATTCTCTAAATTGTTTTATGAAACCTTAATCAGCTTACAAATTTATTTTAAAATTTCTTAGCCTCTATCTTAAAGAGACTGCTTAATCTTTTGGTGTTATATCTCTTTTTTTTAAACCTAATAAATGAGTAGTGCTCCATTTATAAGCATGATTTATTTATTGTACTGTCTCTTTTCCTTTTTAATGCAAAACTACTTATTAACTTTTTAAAAAATTGAATCTTGATGTAGTTTCATTACTTTTTGCTCTTTGTATTAATTTACCTATTGAGTTTCTCTCATTTTAAAAAGGTTTGAAATTATTCTTCTTATCATCCTTACTAAGAAATGATTAAGTATCCTATTCTAAATCTAACTAACTAGCTATAGGAGACATATTCCCTTCTAAAAATTAATCTAAGGCACCTTATTCAATTGAACTTCGTTTTATTTACATTATTTATACAATAATAAATTAATACATAAAATGCATCATCAAAATAGATTACCTATAATTAAGAACACAAATAAAGAATTTAGATCTGAAACCTTAGACTTACCTACAAATAGGATAGTCTAAAGAAAAGAAACTACTTAAAATTATGAAAAAAAAGTGTTAACTAATGAAAATAATGGCTTACCTTACTGTAATAAAATATTTAAAAAGTAGAGAAACTTGAAAAAAATCAAAATTCCTCTACTAGAACAAACACTAAAAATATTGTATTTTAAGATGAGCCTTATTCTCATTAAAGATAGAAAACAGACATTAGTTCTCATAAATTTAAATTATATTCCCCTGTCTAAGAATTTTAATATGAATAAAATCAAAAAGTGATAGAAAATAAAAAGAATCGTAATTCTCATGAAATTAGTTAAGATACTATTTAAAATTTATAAAATAAAAAATATTAAACATTAGATACTTAAACTGAACGAGAACAATAAATTTAAGTTAAAAGATAAGCCTCTTTATAACAAAACAAGGATAATTCAATTAAACCAGGAAGAAATATTAAAGGCATAAGATAATTTGTTGGTTAAGCTTAGAATTTATTAACCAACTTTTACTTTTAAAATAAATGGTTAAAAAAGTTAAAATCCATCTTTTAGGCAGCAAGAGCTTTATGTAGAATATAAATATTGGTCAGACCTAAAAGGGAATAATGGGATAATGCAATATCAAAAGAAATTAGTTGTGTACAAGAATTATCATATAACGCCACTGTTAATGCAATAAAAAATAAACAGTGGTGTTAAATGGTGTTTACTAAAGCATTTTCTATTATTCAATCTTAAACTCTAGATGATCATTAATTAAATTTTATAGTAATTTAATAAAATAATCATAGGAAAATACCTTATCCCCTTTACAAATCGATCATGCAATAAGTATAACAACTTAAGTTTATTGGTATTTTATGACTTCGTTTGAATTATTTACAAATCAGAAATTGTTTATAAGGGAATTTGGGTTAAATATGTATAAAGATCTTTTTGAAAATTAAAGAAAGTTCTTTAGTAAATTTGTTACTAAACGTACACTTTATTTGTCATAATAAAATAAAATTATCACTGATGAATAAAGAGTGATGATTTATTCAGAGTCTATAATTTATAATTTGTTACAAGGGCTGATGTTATTAATAAATAATCCTAAAGTGATAAATATGAATAAACCAAATAGTGTCTTTCTTATAAGAGTTTTGATTACATTACTGCAATATTTATTTATGAATACATTCAAAGAATTACCAATCATAAATGATTTAACTGGCAACTATAAATTTATTTAATTTAAATTAGCATAAATAAATAAAAAAGAATTTGCTTTATAAGAATGCATTTAAATAGAGAAAGAGGAATTAATAATTGGTACTTATAGATTAGATGAACTTAGTCCATTATTCTCTAAAGTTTCATGGTATTCATCTATTAAAAAATGCTTTAGAAGAATACTAAATAATTTATTTGTTTATAAATTTTGATTATTATTGATAATATTGTGTATAAAATCTAAATTAATATTTATATGATTTTTTCGGATGAATTCAAAGATTTAATCAAACAGCCAATATAACTGAATTCTAGCAGATCAAACTACTCTAAAATAGATAGTTTTTCTACCTTTAGAGAATCACCAAAAAAGGCAGTCTTAAATTATCCAAAAGAACAATAAACATTATTCTATAATGCTAGCTATTTGATGAAGTAATCAAATATGATAGGATTAAAGAAAAGATTACGAATATTCGTAATTGTTCTAAAATTTATCAGAAGATTACAAAAAGTTACTTATGAATCACCTTATTAACATAGTCTTGCAAATTTAAAAAAAGTTAAAAAAACAACTTTGAAGCTTCCTGAAACAATAAACGAGAAATTCAAGACTTGGTGTTTAGGGATATTTTAAAAATCATTTTCAACAATTCCACAAGATCTCTTTAATTATTTGAGATAACCAAATAATAAAATCAAAGAGGACAAATCTCAATTAATATTGATTAATGCCATAAAGTTTTTCTTTGAAAACATGGCATATTTTACACATCCAGACATTGTATGTGTTGAAATTAAACATTATTTATTTTCTTAACTATTTTTAAACGAGAAGGCTTATTTTACTGCATTTGTATCGTCAAGAACACCTTACATATCTCATTTAAATAATGAAATAACCTTAGATTAACAATCTATGATAATTATGGAAGTTTTACTCTTTTTTAGATTTGCTTTTATTCTTTTTGAATGCTCAAGTACTAATTAGTTTGCCATTATTATGCTTATTAGTACACTTTAATATTTATTTTTTAAAAAATTCTCTCGTTTGAAATGTCAATATTAATCTCAACAAAATTTGATCTAATTAAATATTGAGGAAACCAAGAATTAAAAATATATTTTAAAAGTAGATACAGTACAGGCTTCTTTAATAAACAATTTAATAATTTAAGGAACTTATCCAACTGAAGAAGTTGAAAAACTTATTAATTTAAGACCAAATTTTGATGAAAAGATATCTTCATATTTTAATAAGACAATTGAGCATTTATAATTATTTCTTATAGATTTCTACCAATGATTATATTTTATATACTTTTACTTTAAAATGGATTTAAGTTAGAAGAGCTCTTCTTTTAATATAAATTATATAAAAATTATTTATTATGTTTTTTATTATAAATAATATATAGTACAATAAATTACATAATTAATTTTTTAAAAAGGAGTTAATTCAAAAAAGCAAATATGTATGTTTTCTCAATAATCTTATATAATGATTGAATAAGCAGCTTATTATTATAGTTTAAAGATTAATTTTATAATCATTTAAAAGGAAGTTAATAAAATTTTCAGTATCATATTAATTACAATAAATCGAATAATGAAAACAGCCTCTGTCTTCTTAAGTGAAAATTAAAAATCTCAAATCCTGTTCTCGAATAGGTAAAATAGAAATCTTTTCATATCTGATTTTAATTTTGATACCAGCCCATCAAAAAAATCAGGAAAATCAATCTCTCCCAGAAAATAATGGATTAAAGTGTCTACAGCTACTGAAAGTCTACAACTCATTATGACTCCAAACTTGCTTTAATTATAAAATTATAATTCTCTAAAGAAAATTTTCAAAAGATGTGTAGTAGTTGTAAGAGCATGCCTAAGATTACAAAAATTATTACGAAAAGAACAAAAGAAACCAATTACAAGTTTAAAAACACCATTTAGTGGAAAAGAATCATTACGAGACACAGTTTTGAATGAAATAGTGTTCAAATGGTGCAGAGGAATATGCAAAAAATCGTTATCTTCTATAAAAATGCCTGTCTTTGATTATTTAAAAAATCCTAATTTCAATACTAAAACAGATACATCTAAGATGTAGCTGATTAATGCAATTAAATTTTTAGTTGAAAGTCTTGCTTATTATACACATCCTCATTATATACATTATGATTTAAAAGGTTTCTTATGTTCTTAATTGTATCAAGATTATAAATTATATTTTACTCAATATGTTTCAGAGAGAACCAAATACAAATTAGCCATATTAGATGAATTGTAAGAAAAAGAAGCAGCTCTAATTGGAATGGAAATAATAATATTTAATCTAGCTGAAGCAATAATCTAAGATTAATTATCTTGCAATTTCACAAAATTGATTTTAATTAGTGTTCTCTAATTATTATTTACATCATATTTCGATGAAATGAATTGCGGAATTAGTGATTATGAATGCATTTAAGGCGATATCAAGATAACTAATAAAAAACTATATCTTACATTTAAGACTCAACATTCAGGATCTTTTAATTTAATAGATGGTGTTTATGATAATGAATAAATTTTAAACTTATTAGAGTTTAATAAAGCTTAATAAGGAAAAATTTAAGAATATTTTAGAATCGCAGTAAAGCATTTAGAAAAATAAATTATATGATTATAGTATATGTTCATGCAAAATATAAATATTGTCTATAATTTTATTCAATATTACAATTGAATGTAAAAATTAGACTTAAAGTTAAATTTAAGATACTTATAAATTTGTTAGCAGTTTCTAATAATTATATAGAAAAGGAGATATTATTTATAAATAAGTAATTTATAAATTTATTTAATTTTTTTTTTCATCATGAATAATTATTAAGGCAGTTCTTTATCAAAAAATATTGTCAGATAATTGGTATCTAAAAGTCCAAACTCTCATTAAAATTCTAAAGAATACATTTCTATTTCAAAAGAATTAAATATTCCTATAGAATCTGTTTGGTAGTAAACATTAACTATCAAAAGGAAAAAAATAAAGCTATTTGAATCTCCTATCCTTAATAATAACATTATAACATCTAAAAGTTTTACATCTACAAAATATGATGAAGATGTTCTTTCTAAATTTATGAAATGGGACTCAAAATAAATAAATTTATAAGATGATAAGCCAACCTTTAAAGAAAAATATATTTAAAATTCTAATAATTCTAAATTAGAATTTTAAAGGAATCATAATATCAGAACATCCATTTTTAGGTAAGAAAAATAAAAATTTATGAGATAAAACAAAACTAAAAATTTAGCTTTTAAAGTGCCCCAATAAAATAAATATGATCATTTTGGTATAAGTGAAGATCATTTGAATTTAAATCAAAATGAATTATTGGATACTTAAGCTACAAAAAAATATGCTTAAGAATTAGACAACTACGTCATCTAAGAAATTAACTTAATAAATTAAATCTTACCAAGTAAATTTATTAATTTAATTAGAACTCTAAATATCAGAGAACATTTAAAAAAAAACTCCTGAGTCAAAAAATTAAAAAAATAGATAAAGAAGAGTTTACAGTGTAATTGATTATTAATACTTTCCAAATTTAGAAGAATTAGACGATACTATTGACTAATAATCCATATTGAGAAAGAGGAGAATATAAATTAAAAAGAGTAAACTTAAATCAAAATTTATTTTTGTATTAGCTGTTATTAGAATTTCAAAAAAATATAGGTAATATTTATTTTTTTTATCAAAGAACTAAATTAAAAGAAAGAGCTTCTGGAACATTAAACTTAGATTAATAAAAAATTGTTCATCAAAAATATATTGATTAGTTTGGGATTAAGAATGTTAAACATTTATAAAAATCATTTATATAAGGGATATTTTCTAAATTGAATTCCTTCTTTCAAGATATCTAATATATAAAGGAATGTGAATTACTTTAAAGAAATGAAAATAAAAAAAATAAAGATCTCAAGAAATAAAGATTTTGTCAGTTCGTTTCTGTTTTTTTGTAAATTTTAGAAATTGTAACAAAATAAAATGTTATACCACCACTCATAATACATTAACTTAATTTAAATTTCTATAAAACAAATAATACTTAATCTAGTTTATTTGTTATTAATAGAGCTTGTTATTATAGTACATTGATATATTCAATCAAAAAAGACTAATAATTATTAATAGCTACTGAATATTTGATATTTTCATAAATAATTCCTAGTATTTTAGAAATTTTTAATGAAGTAAGTTTTAAAAACTTAGAACACAGAAATGTAAGTTTATGTTACTTAACTGCTATGATTGAATTAATCTAAATATATTTTGTTGATTATTTCTTAAATTTAGAGAAAATAACGGAAAAAAATGTAAAACCTATCTAAAGAATTTTTGATTTAAAAATAGAAGAAAATACTAATATTTTTAAACCTGAAATAATTTATAATTCTAATATAAATTCAGATGAAACGATAATTATAGAATAGGGTTTTGATAGGCAAAACCTTTAAGTATTACAAAAATCAAAACCTTATTGGGATGAAAAAATGAAATAAAAATTTTCAAAAATCATTTCAAATATTGAATAGCTTATCTTGATTAAAACAAATTGATTATTATATTACTTATAGTATAAATTTATGAAAATTAAGAAAATTGGATTTTTGATAATAAAATTTTAAGAATTAAAGTTTATTAATATAAATGATAAATAATGAAGAATTATAATAATTTTCCTTGTCATAAAAATAAAATGAATTAATAATTCTAAATTCATGATATTATTATTGCTCCAAGCTTATCAATTAAAATAAGGAATACAATTTAATTCAGACATGGATAGGATGGATTCCATTTATGGGAAGTAATAAATAATAGTTATGTTATTAAAGGCAGGGATTGTATTGACAAGATATGTATTTTATAACATTATGCCATAAAAATCAATATTCATGGATTTAGGAACTGGAGTAGGTATTACAGGCATTTTGATATCTAAATATACTCGAGTTATTATGACTGATTATAATTAAGATGTGTTAGATAACGCATGGATGAATGTAAAGTTAAATCAGTCACAATGTATTTTAATGTAATTAGATTGGAGAAATCATAATAAAATAAGTTTCTAAGTAGATTTAATTGTTGGAAGTGATTTAGTTTATTCAGGAGCACCTTTAAATGACTTATATTAAACAATACTTAAATTATTAAGTATGTTATAAAAGTATTTTAGAATAAAATGGAAAATTTTATTTGATAATTCCAAGTAATAGAATGTGTACATCAGAATTTATAGAAATAATGAATTCGGAAGGATAATTTGAAATTTAAAAGGAATTATTGGAAGATGAAAAATATTATCAACCTTGTTTGTTAGATTAAGAATAATCATATACATTTTATCCTGGTTTAAAAGAACTTAAATTTTACATGTATATATTTATTAAAAAATGAATTTATAACCTCATCAATATTTATATATATTATAAATAAAAACAAAAATGGATGTAGAATAAGTAGAACTGAACATTGCGCCTTAAATATCTGATTCTAATTAAGGGAATGATTAAGTCTAAAATTCGTAGCTTGCTCTTAATTCAGTATATTTAAATGCTAGACAATCATATTTATATAAGAAAGGAAAACTTTAATTTTTAACTTTAAAAAGATCAACATAGGCTATCTTAATTTACAGAATATTTTATGTTCTTCTTTGTATAATACCATTTTATAAATGCCCATTTTAATGCAATAATACTCTATTGAATATTTTATTACTGATCTGTATTGGATTAGAATCGTAATCAAAAAATTTATGATTAGTTTTAAGATAGCAGATTCAATATATTATTTAAAAAAGGTTACATATTATTTGTAACTTTTTTCATCATAAGATCCATAATAAGTCATACCATTTTCAATTAATGACTTTTAAACGATATTTGCATTAAGAAATGCCATAGATATGTTGCATAAAAATTCATTCTATTTCAGAATCATAAATAATATGTATTTACTTAAGCTATTTTCAGAATTTGGATTATTTATTACATATTTTATGTAGCCTTCTTTTTTAGCAATGCTTTATATTATACTAGTAAAAATATGCTTATATTATAGATGAATAAAATGTTATAGTTTGCTTTATGCTTATTATAATTTCTTTAGACTCAGCTTTTTTTATATTCCCATATATTATTAATTTCATTGGATGGATTTGCTTGAAATCTTATGATGCCATTAAGAAATTAACATCCAAAAATAATGTAAATAACTTATTCATCTCTAGAAACTTATTAGATCATTAAAAAAAGAGAAATATATTGAAGGCTAATAACTGTCTGATGAAAATATTTGTATAATTTGTTGGGATTAATTTAAAAAAGATGAATACTATACACGATTAAAATGTAATAAAAACCATATATTTCACATAACATGCATAAAAATATGGATTAAAACAAATATAACTTGTCCAGTTTGTAGATCCTAGTTAGTTTGAAACATTTTATATTTTTATTAACTTTATAAATTTATTTAAACATTATTTTATGATTTTCTATTAATATATATAATCATTTAAAAAATTATTATTAATTATTTTTCATATGCTTTTTATGAGTTTTAAACTCTACAAAAAAAGCTATTATGAAGTTAAGATTTTAAATCTAAAGATATTAAATGATTTGATCATCTGATTAAACTGTAAAACTTAAATTTATACATCTTACAGATAGCATTAAATTAAGATTAAAATGACTGAGGAACTTTTTTTCATTTTTAATAACACCTATATGAGAAATTGAATTAAAAATTTTTAGGATTAAGAATTCTTAAATAATCTAAACCATGTTTTTTGTCTTTTTGAAGAAGTTGCATTAATTTATATAATATTTCTTATTATCAAAAACAATCTTCAATTAATATATTTTTTGAGCAAAATTATCATGAATTTAATAACTATTATCAAAATTTTTATTCTCAATTACCAATTTCTATTTTAATAAGGATTATTAAAGATTATTTGTAATTTTTCTAAAATTAATCTTATTTAAAATTTAAATAAACTTTTAAAAATTAAACAATATAGAAAATAAATAAATTATTTAGTAAGTAATCATTTGAAGCAATACACATAACTTTTATCTGTTGATTCTTCTTCAAAAGAAATTTCTCCATCAGATTCTTGTGTTTCTGGATTTAAATCACAATAATCTCCATCATTCTTCTGATTTTTTACTAATCTATGATGTAAATCAATAACTTATTCATTTAAAGATTCATTAATAGTTTCTAAAGATATTTATGCAGATTTAATTTCTACATTTTACAAAGATACTTATTAGCTTGAATTTCCACTATTTTTCTTTAATCCATTTATTAAATTACTCTATGATTATTATGAAAATTATTACCCAATCAAAATCCAAATGTTTAAATCCTTTAAAAACAGATTTTAAACTATCATAGTTAATTGGTAATTCCATTGGGTTTAAGAATTTTATTTTATTAGCAAAATCAGTAAAACATGGTGGATAATTTTTAAGAACTTTTTCAGGTAAAAATGAATGCTTAATTTAAAAATACCATTATAATTTTTCTGCTCTGGTTTTAAATTATTTTTATGAATCAAAAAATTCTCCATCTGTCAATAATTATAGTACTATATAAAGTAAACTTTCTAAATCATCTTTGGGATAAACCTCTAATAATTTTATTTTTAATTTGTTACATATTCCTAAATGCTATCCTAAACTTGAATATTTATTTATATGTTAACATTTTTATCCTATTTTTGAATTTGGTTTGAATAATATAGAGTTTTATAAATTTCCTATTGAAAGTGTCTTTTAATTTTCCAAACTTGTTAATAGACTTTACATATTTAAATTTGCATGTATAAAGTTACTAGAATGCAATAATTACAAAGCATCAATCTAAAATGTTAAATATTTTTACAGTTTTTAAAGTAATTAAAATAATGCATTCAAATGAAAACCTTTATTTCCAAAAATTGAACCAAAACTTTAAACTAGGACCAGTTTTATTTAGAACTTGATAATTATATTGATTCATGAAAATTCCATGATCAATCAATCTCACTAAACAATCTTAAGGGTTTTAAACTATTTTTCCATTTTGATATTTCTCCTCAAATTGATTCTCAAATTAAGTTTTAAAATACTAAAGTATTTTAGTGCTATTATCATTTTTAGATATTAGGGTCATTCGAACGACACATGCCTATTGTTATTATAAATTGATCGCTTCGATTATAGTAGTTTTATTACCTTCAAAGATTGTTGAAGTCTTTCCTTAATATATTACATTAAGTAATACGTATTTTTTATCAATAATCACGGCATTTTCTTTATTATATTATTTCATTTGGGATAATTTCTAATAATAAAAATAACTTACTCTTTATGAATCAGATGATTTTGTATTACTTTGTTCTGTTGAAGTTTTTGGAATATTTAAATTGTTTGTTTCGCTTGAATCTATATCTTAAAACATAAGAAATAGATCTAAAAATTTAATATAATTTATAATTTCTATTTTTAATGAAAGCTTAAGTGCTTCAGAAATTAATAAATTTTATTATAAATAATAATTAAGATTCTAGTGTTTGTTTAAAAATAAAATATTATTTAATTTTTGTTAAGTAAATAAAAAACAAAAAATATAATATAAGATAATCAGCAATCTGTAATTTTCATATTCTTTTTTAAAGAAAATTGTTAAAGTCATTTGGGCAATTATGGTTTTCACTAAATTATAAATCATCTTATAGTTGCTAATCAATTGGTCCAAAACTTTTAAAAAGTAGATTCTTGGATTCAGCTGTTGAATTAATAGTTTTATTTTTAACAGATTCATGTTTATTTAATCTTTCTTATTTAATAGAAGGTTCCATAGAGTTCTTTCTTGAAATATTAGAAGATTTTTAATAGATTGAATCGACCAAACTGAATTTTAATAAATCATCTAAACAATTAGAATCTAGATTTTCTCTAAAAAAGTCCTATTCTAGACATTCCTTTAAAGTGAATCTATATTTAGGTTAAGTTCGAGTCATTTAGATTAAAAGATTTTTCAATGATTAAGGCAGTTTAATTTTATCATTAAAACTTAAACTACCTGTATTACTCTATTTGAAAGGATGAATACCATAGAAACTATAAATTAATTGATAAAAATTACATTTCATAAATGATGATACCTAAACTATAAACATCACATTATGTAGTATACATTTTTTATTTTTCTTTATATTCTTAAACTTCAGGTGCTGCATATCCAGGAGTACCACAATTATATAGTACATGCTCTTAATATTTATAATTAGTTGAAAATCCAAAATCAATAATTGCTATATCAGTACTGAAAGGATCTTTGTCTTTGTACATAATATTTTAAGGTTTTAAATCTCTATGCATTATTTGTTATGAATGAACATAATTCATAGTTTCTAGAATATCTCTTACTAATTGTTATTTCTATTAAAGGGAGAAATTCTATAGTTTTTCATATAAATGACCCCCTTCATAATAAGTCATTATTAATTCTACAGAATCTAAATCTTAAAATAAAAAAGATACCTTCATTTTCATATACTTCATATAATTTTGGAATGTTTGGATTGTCAAGACTACGCATAATAAATATTTCTTCAGCTAAACTCTTTGCTTATTTTTCTCTCATTTTATGACCTAAAGGGGCCTTTGTCACTTTCTTAATTGCAAATTTTTAATCATTTTGATGATTTATCACAAATACCTAGAAATAATTAATCTTAATAAAATTACTTCAGAAGTTATACCTTCACCTATTTTTTACCTAAAACTTTAAAATATTAAAGGTATAGATTCTTAAATGCAATTCTGTTTCAATTCAACAACAAAATTCTCGACTTCTTCTGTTTTATTTCCAGATTGAAGTACTATTTAAGAAAAATCATGTGATAGAGTAATAAGAATTGTATTGTCTTTGTTTCGAAAAGAACAATATACATTTTTAAGAAGGAGAAAACCTCCAATTTCACCATTCTTTATAAAATCACTTATAAAATAAATTCCTTACCTTTCGAAAATAGAATAAGTGTTATCTATATATTTTGTATCTGCGAGGAGTTATTATTTTAAGTATTTGCCCTTGTTTAAACAATACGATAGTCTTTTGATCTTCAGACAATTTATGAAAATCGTAATTAACTAAGGCACTCAAGTCTCTATTCCAAAAGGATTACTATTTTGAGTATACGAAATATAAAGAGTGTTTCATTAAAAATTATAATTAATAAAAATCATACTCAATTTTGATGATATCCAAACCAAAATTAAGAATATTATTCACACTGTTAATCAATACAAATAAAAACAAAAAAAATCACTAAATTGTAAATAAAATCATGTATAAACATTAATCAAAGAACTTATTTCATTGAATTAGATAAACTTAAAAATTAATCAGTTTTAATTATTTTTTTACATAAATTGTAAATATTTATTTTCAATTTTATATCATTAGAATTAATATTTAAATCATTTCATTATCCATTAAATACTCAAGCATTTAATTTTCTATTAAGTTTTTCAAGGGCAGCCTTATTTTCAGCTTCATAATGTATAGCATCCTTTATAAAAAAATCTATCGTCTTCTATAAAGCATTGATTAAAGGAGTGAATTATAAACCTAATTCTTTTATTTTTTTATTGCTAATAATTCCACAATCAACTGAAGGATAAAACCTATTAGCTTCTATTACATGTTTAATATTCAATTATTTATTATTTGATAATTTATCAAGCTAAAATTATTATTAAAGTATTACTATAACCTAAGCTAATTCAATATATGAAATTGTTTCATCAAAACAAACATTATAAATTTAATTTTATTATGGAATATTTTAAATGAAATATTTAATGCAATTCACAACATCAGTGCTATATACAAGACTAATTTATTCAGATTGAACAGCTTAATCCTATAATAATATTTATAATATTTACCACTTAAATTGGATATTTTTCATTTTATTAAAGCCATTTCACTAAAGCAAAAAACCTTCCAGAATCATCAAAAGGTCCAATTACATCAGGAAGTCTTAAAATAACATATCTAAATGAACCTTCTATTACATAATTTTATAGAAACTCTTCACATTTTAATTTATTCTAAATTTATTCATATTAATTATTACATGGCCATAACTTTCTCTTTTCTTATGTGAATTTGGTAACTCTTTTCTTTAATCTTAATCTTCAGTTATTGGAATCTCTTTTATCTTACAAACATCATAGATTGAATCTGTAGATATAAAAATATATAAATTGCATAATCCTCTTAGTGCACCATATACTGATTTCACTTAATTACTATAAAATGCAGAAAAATCAATAACAGTTTCCCATTTCCTATCATCAACACCAACACCAAGTTTTTTAGAAAGATACCTAATTAATGTTGTAAAATCGGTAGTATCTTCTCGATTACCATATGTATAATAAACATTTTTTATTTAGTTTACTGCATTATTCCAATAGTTTTTTCCTCTGTTTATATAATGAACTTCATAAGATTCATTTTCAGAAAGATCTTATAATAATTCTTTTCCCATAAAAGTTGAACCACCAAGTATAAGTATTAATTTCTTCATGACACTTTCTTATTTAATAATTAATTAAAATGGAAATATGTGAGTAGTTTAAAGAGACTGTAATAATACGCTATTTAAATGTAGCTTCAAGAAAAAGATGATAATAAAAGATTAACTATGATGTTTAGTGTATGTAGAAAATTGAGTAGAATATTGCCATTTCCTAATGTTATCTAAGTGTTGTAATAAAAACCAAATATTTTGAAATATTTACTGATTGCCAGTCAATTATTTGAAAATAGTGTATTACATATTTTATTCTAGGCCTTGTTATTATTTTATGCTTTATAAGATAGATATTGGGAAGAATAGGATTATGTCAATCTATATTTTGATAGTGTTATCAAATGTTTAATTAATCAGGAGAGTAATGTACTAATTAATGACATTTTTAGTATATTGTCAAACTGTGATTAATAATGAAACCAAGCTTAGATGGTTTCTTTTAGAAAATTCTAAAAATTTTATCAATAAAATCTAACTACCCTTTTTCAATAATGAAAATATTTGCTAAAAGATTAATAACTTCTTTAAAAGTTTCATTAAATACAATTCTAATTTTGATATGCTTAATTCTTGTTTCCAATTTGCATTAGAAAAGAGAAATACTTGGATTTTATTAAGAGATTTAGATTTATAATTTGAAATTGATGTTGAAGATTGTATTATTTTTAAACTAATTAAGAATTGGTTGCTATAAGTTAAGTGATGAGCACTAAAAATTTAGATTTTATCAGTGAAAAAATAGAATAAAAAAGAGAAGAAGCATCAAATTATGGATTAACAAAAAAATAAATGAAATAATAAATGTTAGAAGAATGGTTATTTTAACCAAGTGAAGTACCTTTATTAGTAGCTAATCATGCCACAGTTGATTAATTAAGTAGCGAAGTTTTTAAATCAAATTTACTCTTAGATTTGTTTCTATCATTTATATTGTTTCCTACAAAAAATCCTTAAGTTGTTCCAAATGTAAAAACAATCCTTATTTTAGAAATTATATAATATTTATGTAGATCTTAATCCTCCAGAACCTCCTTCGTTTAGACAACTTAATGTTAATGTATCATAAGAAAGAAGACCACTTATCTAATTTAGAGCTTTTAGAACTATGTAAGTCATAACTGATAACAGAAACAATTTTTTGTTAACGAGAGCTAACAAAGAATATTATTAAAGAGCTTATTCAATGATATATGAATGTTTAAAATAGGACTTAGTAGCTATCACTATTTGCCCAGAAATAATTGTATAATATCTATCCTTCCTTTTATATTAAGAACCTGAAGTTTCAATATTCTTTCTAGTTTTTTATAACATTCCTTACAGATTAATGCTCTTTTTAGATATTCCAGAAATTTCATAATTTTTTACCTAACTCATTAATTTTATATCTACTCCATATAACAAAGTTAATATAGATTCAAATTAATTGATATGGAAATATTTTGAAATATCTAATTTTTTTTCTGATTTACTAAATATGACTATATTTGATACTAAAACCATAGATAATGTTATTACTTAAAAATCGAATGAATTTTATAGACCTAAAAATATAGAAGAGTATTTAAAAAGACCAGATTTCACTCCATTATAAGTGGAAAAACAATTTCCTTAACCAGAATAAAAAAAAGTTGCAGAAGAAATAGATGAATTAGATTAAGATCTTGATCTTATTTTTAATTATCTTCCTAATAAATGTTAAAAAACACTTAAAATCTTTGAAAGAATGTTTGATTAAGCATAAAAGAAAAAAGAAAGTAAAGCAAAATAAAGAATGTCTTTAACAGGAGCCCCACCTTAATTTTTACAAACAAAAAATCTTAAAACAGAAGATTAAACTCCAATAACTTTCAGTCCTACCAGAAGAAGAACAATATTAGCTCCAAGATTAGCCTCTATACTTGATGGAAGCCTTAAAAAATCATTAGTTGTTAATCCTGTTGAATTTGATAATATGCCTTAATCTACTACAAATAGTACAACTAGAAGTCAATTACAAGCTCTCACAAATCCAAACAATTTATTTGGAGTGTTAAATGAATAAATCTAATTGATAAACAAAAAGAATTCTTAAGATTTAATTCAAAAGCCTATGTATTAGAGAATGCTAGTTAAAAAACCAACTTAAATAATTACATTACATAGTAGATCAATGTCGAATCAAAAACGATTAAGTTAGTAGTCTTCACAAATCAACATTACTGAATCTCTTAATAAATCAAGGATGTAAAACTCTATAATTTTAAATAAATTCACTCACTTAGTTGGATCTATGAAAAGCTATGACATTGAAAAAGAATTTTGTATTTATCCTCCAGAATTGAAGGATTAATAGATAGATGATTTTGAAAAATTGGCTTTTGATGAAGATTTCCAGAAACTCTCATAGAAAAATGAGAATTATACAAAAGGAGCTATGTAATGCATTTATGATATCTTACATACAATTTTCACTTAAAGGAAGTTTATTTTATAAAATAATCACCATTTTGAAAATCCAGAATTCTATCTAAATATCTTAATGGGAGAAGATAAATCTTAATTTATAAATCTTATAGCTAAAAATTATTTATTGAAATAAAAATCAGAAGAAGACTTGTTATGTACCTTTATGGTTGCAGGTAGAATTTATAATTTAATTTTATCTTAATACAATCTTAAATCATTTTCAATTAACTTTCATGAACATTTAATCTTGATATGTAAGATTCTTTTAACCTAACTTCTAACATCAAAATTATCAATTAGAGCAATTACATTATTAGAAAGTGTTACTTTAATTTTAGAAAACACAAAGTAATAATTACTAACTCATATTCCAATTTCTTTTTGGCATTTAATGATTGAATCTTATTCAATTCACACTAATAATTAAATTTTTAATAACTATTTTAGAAGAATATTGATTACTACCTTTATATATGGAAATTTAGTTATTTATAATAGAATTCTACTAAAAATTAATTTTCTCTCCTATTTTAAAGACAATCCAGATTAAATTAAATTAGTTTTTCTGGTATTATACATGATGTTTAAATTAAGATAAGATGGATTAAAGCAGTTAAAGAAATAAATTACATTATTATCTTCTTGGAATGCATTAACAGATTATTTCAAAAAGTAAATTAATTTTTTAATTATTTTCAGAGATTTATAAAGCCTTGAATAATAAAAATTTTAAGAATACACAAAGGGCTTTCGAAGTGAAGATATTGCTCAGATTTAAACATTGATTGAAAACAGAGATTCAAAAAAGAATAAATTTTATAAACCTTGATTACATATAAAATATAAATCAATTTGAAAGCTTTTTATATCTTTCTAAAATTGCGAATCGATAATTTTATAAAATTGGATATTTTTTTTATCTTTTTTAGAGAATTAAAATTTAAATGAAAACTTATCTGCTTAAAATTAATATTATTGATCATATATATTAAAAAAATCATTTTTTGTCAACTAAAAACTTAATGGATTATATAGATTACACAGAGATAAGATTTTAATTTATAGGTGTACGAAAGCATTTTTTCTCAGATAAATAATATTATGTTTCTGTTTTTGATGATTGCTTTGTGATGGGAGCAGTAACGATAAATTATTAAACGATAGACACCCCATACATAATAACCAAAGTACACAATTAAGTTTGGTTTCTCTACAAAAATTAGATGGAACATAAAAAAAACTAAATAAGGACTTTTATTTGATTCATTTAGTTTTCCATATAAGCAAGAGATGAAGGTAATGAGTGCTAATCATGATAATTTGATTAAGTAAATAATGATTCAAAGATAAAACATAGATTCAAAGAAATGATAAGTTTGAAGGTAACTTTTGATAACATAAATGATTTGTATGAACCTCTGTCTTTGATAGGGAAAGGAATTTCAGCCAAAGTCTATAGTGCTTCATAAAAATTAGATTAAAAGATTTATGCAATCAAAGCTATAGAGAAGGCATTTTTGAAACAACAAAATGAATCTGGTTAAGTATTAAAATAAGTTGATATATTCAAAAGGCAGCATTCAAAATGGAGGTTTCCATTTTAAAAACTTTAGCGAAATTCCCCGAAAATTTTCTAACATTAAAAGAAATTTATGAAGGGGATTAAGTTCATTGCTTAGTCACTTCATTTTTGGAAGGATCAAGTTTAACATAAGAATTTGATCGTTTAAAAGTAAATTATAAATTTAAGAATAGACATCAGACATGTTTAGATTTCCTATACATTAAACAAAGCTTATAATGAAAAAATTACTCACAAATTTAGCAGTCTTGCATTAAAATAAAGTATATTTCTTTTTATTGTTAGATAATACATAGAGATTTGAAACCTGATAATTTAATGTTTTCAAAAAAAAATGACTATTCGACATTAGTCTTAGTAGATTTTGGTCTCGCAACATCAGAATCTATGGAAAAGTAAAATATGAAAATATATTTAACAAAAGATTTCTTTTTCCAAAATGTGGTACACCTGGATATGTAGCACCTGAAATTTTAACTTTAAAACCTTTTAGTAGATATACAACAAAAGTTGATATATTTAGTTGTGGTTGTATTTTTTATAAATTACTTACTGGTAAAAATTTATTTGGAGGTATCTCTTTCGATGAGACACTTAAATAAAATAGAATGTGTTAAATAGAATTCAATCTTCAGTTTGATTAATAGTATATAACAGAACAATCTATTGTAATAGTATTAATTAATATTTAGAATTTATTATAACAAATGTTGATGATAAATCCAAAACATAGAATAACTGCAAAAGATGCTCTCTATCATCCTTTCTTTGATTAAAATCTTGAATAAAATATCTTTTAATAAGCCCTAATATTTTCCCCAAAAAGATCAACTAAGATATTCTTAAATGCTAAGTAAGAAGAGCAATAATCTGATTTGGATAGTTTTTAAGATGATAAAATAAGTAATGAAAAATAAATTGAAGAATCAAACTTTATTTAATTACCAAAGAGTAAGAGATGCTCTTTAATGGGGGATTTCTCTTTATTGTCTTAATCCCCTTGTAAATTCTTACATGACACTTAATAATTTTACTAAAAAGATCCACTATCTGGATTTAGGTGCATTAAAGTAACCTAAAGTCCTTAAGTATCTTAAATATTGGATTGATTTTATTGATAAAATTCAATTTTTCATATTAATAATATTTAATAATTCAATGAAGAATTAAAAAATTCTACAGAAGATTTATGAATCAAAATCTACAATTATTTATAAAGTTAGAAAAAATATAAGATAATAATAAGGAAGATGTGTAAATGAATTTCTTTAAAAATATCAAGATTATGCATAGGCAAACATATGTAAGATATTATTTCTTTATAAAATTATGATATATTTGTTTAAATTTATATATCTATTGTATCATGATTATTCTTAAATTGCTTTTTCTTCTTATAATGCAATTTCTAATCTACCTTCAACAAATTTAGACCAACTTGGTGCTTAAGCTTATTTATAAAGTTTTATCATAAGTTGATCTTTCTTTATAATCTTTTACAAATCTGTAAAATAACCTTCCATATCATTCATTAATTTATTCTTTAATCTATTTTATTATCTTAAACAATCCTCCCATAATTTTTATACAAATCTTTATTATATTTTTTAAGAAGGGTCTTATCTTAATTCAACTGACTTATTTTATAAAAATGGAGTATATTGAACTAAAAAATAATATATACCTCCTCTTAAAGGATTTTCTGGATTCAACAATTCTTCCTACAATTAAGGCATTTTTTCTGCAAATTTTTTTACATTTAGATATTCTTCATCTGTGTCTTAATGATTTAAAAGCTTATTAAATTAATAATTATACAATTAATTAATCTGGTTATAATTATGGACCTTAACATGCCTCTTCTTCTTCTTATTATTCTTATTCAATTTATTTTTATTAAGGTTATTATTATTGTTAGGGTTATTAAATTTCTTGTTTTTGTTATTTTTAAAGAACTGGTTCATTTGGTATTTCCTTAAGTTTTTATTCTAAATATTAATCTAAACCATTTCTTTTATCAAATTTTGGATATGTTTTTACTATTTATGCTGTTGTGACAGTTTTTTTTTTATTAATTGATTCTCTTAACATAATACAATATTATAAAACTGTTTTATCATTTAATAAAAGATCTCTTTCTATTGTAGACATATCTAGTAAATCATTTAATTAAATTTTTCCTTATCCTTTAAGATCATTAGATAGCCATCCTTTTTTGAATGCTTTTATATCAATAACAGATAAATGAATCTCTTTTGCACCATTTTTGAATTCTTTTAAATTTATGTCTTAAACATAACCTAATTTACCAGAACCATCTGCTTATTCAGTTTTACCTTAATAAACTTGACTAAAATAAATTAATAATTAAATACTTTCCAATTGTTAATTCATATTAGAGAAACAATTTATCTCCATTTACAAAATTTTTAAATTGAATTCTTAATGATCCATTTGGAACATCCTTATTTACAGTTGAAATTTCTCTATTTTCTGATTCTAATTTAAAAATGGGCAAAGGTGTCCATCGTGCATTTTTTTGATCTTATAAATACTTCTATAATTCTTCATATCTGGCAAAATATTATTTGCATATATCTGATGGATTTACTTTTTGCATTTACTTTGTTCCAGGTATAACTTAAATAATTGGTTTAGCAAGGGATGCTACTTTATAATAAAGTTATTCTTCTTTTGAAGCCTAGTTAACCTAATCTATCATATTTGTAATTTTAGCCTAAAATTCAACATTTGGCATCCCTAAAAATTATTCTTCAGTAATTTCTTTGAATTCTGATATATAAAACTTTGAAAAATCAATATTTTTGCCTTCCTTCAAATCATTTTAAATTGCCTTGCTTTTTTCTAATTTTTCTATTAAAAATTCAATTAACTCTCTTTTCTCTTCCTTCATATGAGTACTTAAATATTATGTCAAATTTAAATATTCTTTATGTCTTATTAGTAATTCTTTTGCTTTTTCTTTATATGGTTTCTCTTAGAATTCTTCAAATAAGAATTTTTAAGTTAAATCAGGGCCGCATCCAAATGTTTAACAAATTTTATCAAACTACTTATTTTTTAAATCTTCTAATTCTTTATTCAATGTCTTGCATCTCATGCCTAATCTATTCTTCATTGCAGATGTAGCAACCTTAAATTTATTCTATTCCTCTTGAAATGTTTTACTCACCATATTTATGTATTACCCTTCTTTGATTTTTTCATCTTTTATATTTTATATAATTGTAGAAAGTTATTTTTGCATTTCAGATACCTATAGATTAAATAATAAGGTTATACTAGATTTTTATAAAAGTTTGTCATTTCAAGGTTTTTTTTAAAATTAGGCAAAATGTTTTGATTGATATAACCTATATCAAATTTAAGAACACTCATAGATTATAATTTGGAGGGAACAGTATATTAGTTTTCAAGTGTCACTAGATCTATAGCTCCTTTTTAATTATTAGATGAAGCTTATTATTATGGATTCCGCATTAACTTTTATTATTATGCACCTTATGAATTTGATGGTTTTTCATATTCTGCAAGCATTTAATCATAGACGTCGATTGATTAGGCTGCTTAGCCAATTTTATTGTTAATTTTGCCAGTAGCCATATTTCAAAAATAGAATAATATTCTTACAACTATTATTAAAGTTTTTTCATTTCTGGATCATCATCAAATGCATTATCTTCATTTATATTAGGTTCAATCTCATCTACATCTTCACCTAATTATAATGCATATTCTTTTAGAAGATCATTTACATTCCTTTTTGGCTACATCCTATTATTAATATTTATGAATTTTATTAAAAAATATTTTATAATATGAATACGTATGTCTAGAGAAAGAATTTATAAATTTTCAAAATTGTATATATCATCAAACCAGAGTTTGTTTTTATTAGTTATTTTCTTGTTCCTTTTAATCTATACTATCTTGTCTTTCATCGGAGGATTGAGTTCTTGTAGACTTTAAAATTTATTTCTCATCATTTTATTTTTCGTCATTTTATTTCTCTTTAAATTTACTTATATAATTTTTAAGTATTTGATTTCTATATTATTTTTAATTCTTTTGATTAATTCGGTATATTTTTTTTTATTCTAATTTATATTATTCTTCATTTTATTCTAATACTGTCAAAAAGTGATTTTAGCAATATGAGTATTATGATGGTTCTGTTTAATCTGATGCTCTACTTATATTTTCATCTTGTATTATCTATTTAGAAAGTAATTTAGAGCATTTTTTATTAGATTTAGAAGTAGATAATCCAATTTTTATTTTCTTTTGTTAATCGATCTCTGTTACTTAATTTATTTTTAACATTTGTTCTGGTTAGGATTATGATTCTGTTTGAGTTTCTTAATTCTATGTTATTTTTTTTCTTTTTGCTGAAAGATCAAATTATTAAACATAAATTGTTTCTATTTTTGACTCTTAGCAAAATATTAGAGGTTCAACATAAATATTTTCAACTTTATCTGTTTAAGATTTCATTTTCTTTAAGGTATTAATGATATTTTATGGTATAACCATTAATTTTTGTAAAAATTCCATTAAATTAATTCTTAATATAAAAAATAATAATAAGATAAATAAAAATATATATAAGTTTAATTAACACTAAAATTAAGAAATAATATTCAGGATATTTTTAGTTTATTGATAATTTTTAGATTTAGATATACTCATTATTATAAGGGAAGGATTCTGCTTACTAATTTTTCTTTAAATCTTTTACTATATCTTTTAGGTTCTTAAGCAGAAGTATCTAATTATAAATTCATTTAGATAATTTTTTTAGTTTTTCTTTCAAGAGATTTGTTAACATTCCATTATTATAAGTAATCAATAATGCCTATATGATAGTATATCTAAAATTGTTATAAAAAATACTCCTTATTCTTTAATTGAAGGATTAATATTTATCTGTTAGCCATCTAAATGTTTAATTAATAATTATTTTTGTTCTTTCCAATCAATAATAATAACTAACAAAGAATAATCAATAAGTTTTTGTTTTTCTAAAAATTCAGAGTCTTTGAATAAATTTTAGGTTAATTCTTGTTATATTAAAAAAATTATACTTTAAGCAATATTCTATTCAACCCAAATTTATTTTTCTATTTTGAAAAAATCTAAATCTTTAAGAGTTAATTTTGATAAATCAGTCTCACTTTTTTTAGCAAGTACTTCTCTATCATACTCAGATCCTTTTAAATCATATGTTCTGTATATGTAATTTTTAGGTATACCAAGTGATAGATTTTTCATTATTAAAAAGTGTACCTTTGCTTCAGATTTTTCAAATCTTTCAAAAGTATATAATCCATAAATTTTATTTAATAGAGATTGTGGATTATTTGCTTAATAAGTAGCAAAATTTAATAATCTCTTTTTATATGTATTAACCTCTGATTATCTCATTGTTTTTATAATCAGTTATTTGTTATGAGAAAAAAAAAAAAATTCTCCACTTTTACCACCATCAGGACCTGTTGATTATTCTATATTTAATAAATTCTTTTAAACATCAAAAGAATCTTCTATATTTATATTATCTAAAGTTAAAAAGTAATTAAATATTTTAGGAGCATATAATATGCATCTCATTTAAAAAACTTAAATATCTTGAGATTCTTGAATTTATAATTTAAAAAGATCATTATTACTAAGATTTATAACTAAACACTCTTCAACTTCTTCAGGAATAAATGGTTTTACAGCAGCATCAATTAATTCACTTAAATCCCCTTAACTTGATCCATCTGATTCATTTTTTTCATCATTTATTGCTAAATCTTTATAAAGTATAATTTATTCTTATTTCTACCTTTTTAATAATTATATGCCAGCCAACATCGAAATAACTTAAGTTTTTTTCATTTCTTTTTGTATCTTTTCTAAAATATTAAAAGCTATAATAAAATTGTAAAAAATCTTACATGTCATAGATATTTCAATAGATCTAGTTTCAATAGTTTTATTCTAATCTAATTAGATATCAGAAGTTTATGAATTTTTAAACTTTAATATAAGAAGAGGATCTCTGGTGATAATTATAACTTAACCTAAAATACATAGTGCTTAAGTAATATTTTAACAAGTTGCTGATGGTAATAGATATGTAGTCAGAAAAATATAGCAATTTAATAAATTCATTGCACTGAATACTCCAAGTAAAAATTTCATGACTAAACTAAAAGTTATGAATTTTTGATAATATTTCAAGTATTAGCCTCTTAATTCATTAATTGAAGACATTTTAGGGACTAATTTTTTAAAAGTCAAAACAATAATTGATGACATTGTGGCAAATAAAAGAAATACAATCATATATACTAAAGCAATTATGTAATCCCAAATAGAATCATGAGTAGCTGCAATTGCACAAATTCTAAGAAAATATAAAATAGATAATACTACCCATTTAAGGAGATTGATATAATATTATTATCAAAAATAAAGTCTAATATAACTAAAAGTATTATTATAGTAGAGAAGGAGTAATTAAATATTCTAATAAATTTTGTTGTTTACTCTAATGTATTATATACTAAAGCAAGTGGATAAGCAGCAAACATAAAAATGTTTAGATTTGAAATCACAAAAACTATAGATGTTACTATTCCTGTAATCTAATTTATTTTTATAACTACTTCACAAAAGATGTTTATTGGAGCTGAGTTGTTTATGAATACATACAATGCTGTAGAAAATTCAACTATTGATTATATTCCATTAGTTATTGTAATCACAAATATAATATCTCCAGGACCTCCAAATAATTGAAAGTCTTTAATGAACTCAAAGATAATTCGGATTGATATCATAAATGTAACAGGAGCTTTGATTGTTCATTCAAATTTTACATAGCAATACAAAAATCCAACAATCAATTGGAAACAATTTAAGCTTTTGATAATTCATTGCTTATTCTACTTCATCTTAAATTTCATCTTTGCAATCATATAATTAACTTTCGTCATACATTTTAGCCTTTAATTCTATGTTCATTAGTAACAAGATTATAATGCAGAATCTAATCATCATCAAAATATATAAAATTTTTGTTTTTTTAATCTATAATTACAATCAAATCAAGAAAAATATGTTATCCTATTAAAATAATAGTTCATTCAAAACATAATCCCTTAAATTTAATAAGGATAATACAAATAGAACTTAAAATTAATTTCTTCTATAAATAGTATTTGGTTAAAACAATATAATAAAATATTTATAATTATTTTCATTACAAATAATATCAATTTATTTAACTTAATTTAAACTAATATTTATTATAATTTACTATGATATAAATTCATAAAATGATAGATATAAAATTGAAAATAAATAAATAAATGTACATTTAAATAAATATGTTATTTTCAGCATAATTCATATAATCCAATATCTTTTTATGAGTCACTTAATAAATAAAATGAACTTCTATTTTTGAAAAATGTTTAAAGAACATTTTTTCCACTTTTAGCTGGGCAATCAAGTAATTCTCCAATCATTTCGATAGGAGTTATTTTATTTTCTTAAATGAGAATGGCTTTTATCTATTTAATATTTTCAGCAAAAGCTACTAGTATAAAATGCTTATGTTATTTAATAATAATAATTTCTTAAACTTTTGAATTGAATAGCTTTTAAATAAAAGAATATTTACCTAATAATCCCCAATAAGAATATTTTTAAGTACATTAAATAGTTTAACTGATCCATCAATACATCCATAACAGATAACTATATCGTGTAAATATTCTGTGGCAATACATGTAGTTATATTAGAGAT